ATGAAATTGCTTGAAAGTTGCTAAAAAGATGCCTGAAGGGCCCTAGAACACATTCCAACTCGATTTCTGGACAATTGTGTTATTAAAGGGGAAATTCAATCGACAATTTCACGTAAAATCACTCAAAAAATGTATTTGTTTTTCTCAAAAAATGGATGATTTTTGCCGCAATCTTCCAAATTGTGCGTATTAGAGTATTGATTGATGTTCATCTTGCATCCAGATGAATTTCTGCCTTGTTTTGAGAAAACTCAATTTTTGGCCAATTTTGACTAAAAATGTAAGGCTAACCCCTTGAATTTTTTTCAAATTTGGCCAAAAAATGAAATTGCTTGAAAGTTTCTAGAAAGATGCCTGAAGGGCCCTAGAACACATTCCAAATTGATTTCTGGACAATTATGTTATTAAAGGGGAAATTCCGTCGACAATTTCAGGTAAAATCACTCAAAAAATTAATATCTTTTTCTCCAAAAATGGATGATTTTTGCCCAAATCTTTCAAATTGTGCGTATTAGAGTATTAATTGATGTTCATCTTGCATCCAGATGAATTTCTGCCTTGTTTTGAGAAAACTCAATTTTTGGCCAATTTTGACTAAAAATGTAAGGCTAACCCCTTGCATTTTTTTCTATTTTGGCCTAAAAAATGAAATTGCTTGAAAGTTGCTAAAAAGATGCCTGAAGGGCCCTAGAACACATTCCAACTCGATTTCTGGACAATTGTGTTATTAAAGGGGAAATTCCGTCGACAATTTCAGGTAAAATCACTCAAAAAATTTATTTCTTTTTCTCCAAAAATGGATGATTTTTGCCCAAATCTTCCGAATTGTGCGTATTAGAGTATTGATTGATGTTCATCTTGCATCCAGATGAATTTCTGCCTTGTTTTGAGAAAACTAAATTTTTGGCCAATTTTGACTAAAAATGTAAGGCTAACCCCTTGCATTTTTTTCTATTTTGGCTAAAAAATGAAATTGCTTGAAAGTTGCTAAAAAGATGCCTGAAGGGCCCTAGAACACATTCCAAATTGATTTCTGGACAATTGTGTTATTAAAGGGGAAATTCCGTCGACAATTTCAGGTAAAATCACTCAACAAATTTATTTCTTTTTCTCCAAAAATTGATGATTTTTGCCCAAATCTTCCGAATTGTGCGTATTAGAGTATTGATTGATGTTCATCTTGCATCCAGATGAATTTCTGCCTTGTTTTGAGAAAACTCAATTTTTGGCCAATATTGACTAAAAATGTAAGGCTAACCCCTTGTATTTTTTTCAATTTTGGCCAAAAAATGAAATTGCTTGAAAGTTACTAGAAAGACGCCTGAATGGCCGTAGAACACATTCCCAATCGATTTCTGGACAATTGTGTTATTAAAGGGGAAATTCCGTCGACAATTTCAGGTAAAATCACTCAAAAAATTAATTTCTTTTTCTCCAAAAATGGATGATTTTTGCCCAAATCTTCCGAATTGTGCGTATTAGAGTATTGATTGATGTTCATCTTGCATCCAGATGAATTTCTGCCTTGTTTTGAGAAAACTAAATTTTTGGCCAATTTTGACTAAAAATGTAAGGCTAACCCCTTACATTTTTTTTCAATTTTGACTAAAAAAGGAAATTGCTTGAAAGTTGCTAGAAAGATGCCTGAAGGGCCCTAGAACACATTCCAACTCGATTTCTGGACAATTGTGTTATTAAAGGGGAAATTCAATCGACAATTTCACGTAAAATCACTCAAAAAATGTATTTGTTTTTCTCAAAAATGGATGATTTTTGCCGCAATCTTCCAAATTGTGCGTATTAGAGTATTGATTGATGTTCATCTTGCATCCAGATGAATTTCTGCCTTGTTTTGAGAAAACTCAATTTTTGGCCAATTTTGACTAAAAATGTAAGGCTAACCCCTTGTATTTTTTTCAATTTTGGCCAAAAAATGAAATTGCTTGAAAGTTGCTAGAAAGATGCCTGAAGGGCCCTAGAACACATTCCCAATCGATTTCTGGACAATTGTGTTATTAAAGGGGAAATTCCGTCGACAATTTCAGGTAAAATCACTCAAAAAATTAATTTCTTTTTCCTCCAAAAACGGATGATTTTTGCCCCAATCTTCCAAATTGCGCGTATTAGAGTATTAATTGATGTTCATCTTGCATCCAGATGAAGTTCTGCCCTTTTTTGGGAAAACTCAATTTTTGGCCAATTTTGACTAAAAATGTAAGGCTAACCCCTTGCATTTTTTTCAATTTTGGCCAAAAAATGAAATTGCTTGAAAGTTGCTAGAAAGATGCCTGAAGGGCCCTAGAACACATTCCAAATTGATTTCTGGACAATTATGTTATTAAAGGGGAAATTCCGTCGACAATTTCAGGTAAAATCACTCAACAAATTTATTTCTTTTTCTCCAAAAATGGATGATTTTTGCCGCAATCTTCCAAATTGTGTGTATTAGAGTATTGATTGATGTTCATCTTGCATCCAGATGAATTTCTGCCTTGTTTTGAGAAAACTCAATTTTTGGCCAATTTTGATTAAAAATGTAAGGCTAACCCCTTGCATTTTTTTCAATTTTGGCCAAAAAATGAAATTGCTTGAAAAATGCTAGAAAGATGCCTGAAGGGCCCTAGAACACATTCCCAATCGATTTCTGGACAATTGTGTTATTAAAGGGGAAATTCCGTCGACAATTTCAGGTAAAATCACTCAAAAAATTTATTTCTTTTTCTCCAAAAACGGATGATTTTTGCCGCAATCTTCCAAATTGCGCGTATTAGAGTATTAATTGATGTTCATCTTGCATCCAGATGAATTTCTGCCTTGTTTTGGGAAAACTCAATTTTTGGCCAATTTTGACTAAAAATGTAAGGCTAACCCCTTGCATTTTTTTCAATTTTGGCCAAAAAATGAAATTGCTTGAAAGTTGCTAAAAAGATGCCTGAAGGGCCCTAGAACACATTCCAACTCGATTTCTGGACAATTGTGTTATTAAAGGGGAAATTCCGTCGACAATTTCAGGTAAAATCACTCAAAAAATTAATATCTTTTTCTCCAAATATGGATGATTTTTGCCCAAATCTTCCAAATTGTGCGTATTAGAGTATTAATTGATGTTCATCTTGCATCCAGATGAATTTCTGCCTTGTTTTGAGAAAACTCAATTTTTGGCCAATTTTGACAAAAAATGTAAGGCTAACCCCTTGCATTTTTTTCGATTTTGGCTAAAAAATGAAATTGCTTGAAAGTTGCTAAAAAGATGCCTGAAGGGCCCTAGAACACATTCCAACTCGATTTCTGGACAATTGTGTTATTAAAGGGGAAATTCCGTCGACAATTTCAGGTAAAATCACTCAAAAAATTTATTTCTTTTTCTCCAAAAATTGATGATTTTTGCCCAAATCTTCCGAATTGTGCGTATTAGAGTATTGATTGATGTTCATCTTGCATCCAGATGAATTTCTGCCTTGTTTTGAGAAAGCTCAATTTTTGGCCAATTTTGACTAAAAATGTAAGGCTAACCCCTTGCATTTTTTTCAATTTTGGCCAAAAAATGAAATTGCTTGAAAAATGCTAGAAAGATGCCTGAAGGGCCCTAGAACACATTCCCAATCGATTTCTGGACAATTGTGTTATTAAAGGGGAAATTCCGTCGACAATTTCAGGTAAAATCACTCAAAAAATTAATATCTTTTTCTCCAAAAATGGATGATTTTTGCCCAAATCTTCCAAATTGTGTGTATTAGAGTATTGATTGATGTTCATCTTGCATCCAGATGAATTTCTGCCTTGTTTTGAGAAAACTCAATTTTTGGCCAATTTTGACTAAAAATGTAAGGCTAACCCCTTGTATTTTTTTCAATTTTGGCTAAAAAATGAAATTGCTTGAAAGTTGCTAAAAAGATGCCTGAAGGGCCCTAGAACACATTCCAACTCGATTTCTGGACAATTGTGTTATTAAAGGGGAAATTCCGTTGACAATTTCAGGAAAAAATCACTCAAAAAATTTATTTGTTTTTCTCAAAAAATGGATGATTTTTGCCGCAATCTTCCAAATTGTGTGTATTAGAGTATTGATTGATGTTCATCTTGCATTCAGATGAATTTTGCCTTTTTTTGAGAAAACTCAATATTTGGCCAATTTTGACTAAAAATGTAAGGCTAACCCCTTGCATTTTTTTCAATTTTGACCAAAAAATGAAATTTCTTGAAAGTTGCTAAAAAGATGCCTGAGGGGCCCTAGAACACATTCCACATTGATTTCTGGACAATTGTGTTATTAAAGGGGAAATTCAATCGACAATTTCACGTAAAATCACTCAAAAAATGTATTTCCTTTTCTCCAAAAATTGATGATTTTTGTCCCAATCCTCACAATTTTGCGTATTAGAGTATTGATTGATGTTCATCTTGCATCCAGATGAATTTCTGCCTTGTTTTGAGAAAACTCAATTTTTGGCCAATTTTGACTAAAAATGTAAGGCTAACCCCTTGCATTTTTTTTCAATTTTGGCTAAAAAATGAAATTGCTTGAAAGTTGCTAAAAAGATGCCTGAAGGGCCCTAGAACACATTCCAAATTGATTTCTGGACAATTGTGTTATTAAAGGGGAAATTCCGTCGACAATTTCAGGTAAAATCACTCAAAAAAATAATTTCTTTTTCTCCAAAAATGGATGATTTTTGCCGCAATCTTCCAAATTGTGTGTATTAGAGTAATGATTGATGTTCATCTTGCATCCAGATGAATTTCTGCCTTGTTTTGAGAAAACTCAATTTTTGGCCAATTTTGACTAAAAATGTAAGGCTAACCCCTTGCATTTTTTTTCAATTTTGGCCAAAAAATGAGATTGCTTGAAAGTTGCGCCCTCTACTGACATGACTGAAATACATTACCAAATTGCAAATTTGATTCCGCAATTGCCTTATGTTAAATGTCCGAGGAAATTATATTTAGGAAAACTAGTACCAACAAAAACGTGGATAAATAATCAATTCCAGTTGCTACAATTTGTTGTGTTGTTTTTGCAATATGATATTTAATACAATATCTGATAAATTTTTCTACATGGAACATTCGTTGCAAAGGCAAACCATTCATTAACTGATGCTTATGTGTCCAAGTTAAAAACAGAGCCAAAGAAAAGAAAATTAAAGCATTCGTTTAAATCCTGCATGCCAGTTTCTCTTGGAAAAAATTCACATTCCTTACTTGGCATCCTGTTAAAAACAACTAGTGTTTTCCTTCATTTATGTGGCATGTGATCACAATCGACCAATGAACAAAAAGGATGTGAAGTATTTGCATATTCATGTATCACCAAAAGGCAGATGGACCAATCAAATTGTCGCATCATATACTCGCAGTTTACATTAATTTAAATATTTACCCCAAATTTGCATTATAGAAAATAATTTCAGACACAAAAAAAGAAAACAGTTTTAGAATGGGAAAGGTTATGAAAATTATGCATTTTTAAATGCACAGTGTTGGATCACACTGACACATTCATGAATTGCATTCACTATAAGACCCTGGGTTGTTTGCTGTCCAACAGAAATCCAAAATTAAACATATTGTCAAACACCGAAAATAAATTGACAAAAAAACAAAATTAGAAGCACTACTATGGGGAACTGAAGGCACATATCTATCAACAAAACAGTCTTTAGTACAGTCCACCTTTTTGAACCCCAGCGCAAAATTTTATGGGGGAAAAAATCAAATAAAGCTGAACAAAATTAAAATAGACCCTTTGCAACATAACTGTTAAACAATGTTATATAATATTAAGTAACGCATCTTTCACCTTCATCTTTCTTATGTACATAGTTGTTTTTTTTAATTTTAAACATAGCAAGAGACCAGTATGCCCCCAAGAGGGCGCTGTTTATATGCAATGGTTGCACAGTTCTTGTTTCTGCTGAAATTCTTTTTCAACTTGTAAATTGTTTTTATTCATTAACCTTTTTACTTCAGACTTTTTTTAAACATGTCATCAGAAAATTTAGATTTACTAACCAAATCAAATTCCAATGTTGAATAATATGATATAATTACATTAGAAATATGAGCCAAAATCTGGTTTTATACATGCTCCAATATTATTTTAATCCCCCTATATGTGTCCTTCCTCCCAAATTGATCAACTTGAAGTTACTTGCTGACATGAAATTATTCGCATACTTTTATCAAAAATAGTCACCCTCAAAAGAACAAGGGCATGTTGCATGTACACGGTGTCATACCTGTTTTCAGCTTTATGCAAGGCCAATAAAAAAGATTTTCCTCTAAATCACTTTCATACTTGGTGTTTGGATTCCCCTGCCCACTCCCCACTACCCCCAGAACAATTAAAAAAGAAGACAAAATCCAGAAGCCCTTCGATTAAAAATAAAACTTTGGTAGTCATCTTCCAATGTTGTTTTTCGAAGCCCATACCCTCAATTTTCTTTCCTTTTCCTTCTAATGATCCAAAAAAGAGTCAGTAAAACCCAAGGGTACTTGAAATACTAATTTCAAAGTATCTTTAAGAAACTGAAATTATCAATAAGGCTGGAAAGCTAGGTAGGTAGAGCACTGGAGTTGCTCTCATCAGGGCTTGGGTTCAACTCCAAAATCAAATTCCCGTTTGTATCAAGTACCTTCTTGAGTAAGATTTGAGGCTTTGCATGGTGGAGATACTAATGAATAAAAGGTTTGCGGAAACACCATGTGCGAATAATTTCTCAACTAAAAGAATGGCTCCGACCATCTTCACTCTCTCCTGAAGACGGTCAGAGCATACTGACAGGAACGTCAAGTTTATACCTCTGGTTCTTTTCAGAACCATTCTCTTAGTTGAGAAATTATTCACACATGGTGTTTCCGCAAACCTTTCATTCATAAGTACCTTCTTGAGTCACCGACACATTTAAAAAAAAGAAATTCTAACTTCTCTTTTGGTTGATTTGTTCTAATCATGTTATGTTTTAGTTTTCTTACTTTGTGTCTTCCGATCTTTGTGTTATCACAAGACTACAGCACATTATAACTCAACTTTAACAAAAACTAAAGGTGGAGATGAGATGAGAAACACTACATGACTGGAACCCAGCAAAGCAAAAGGTTAAAGGTCCAAGTATGTTCACACAAAGCTGGTAGCTTCCCAGCTTGCAACACTGAGATGTCTCTGACAAATTTGGCCACTTACAAAACTTTCCGAAGGATCTCAAGAAGCATTTCTTCAGCCCTCTGAGGTGAGGATGAGAGAGAGACCCAGCCCCTTTAGTTGAGAAGATTCCTGATTTCTTTGTGCATGTGGACGAGGAAGTCCACGTATGAGGCCGAGGCGTTGGAACCTTTGTCTTCCACCAGGAAGTGACGGAACCAGGCTTCAAGGGTGTCACGCTGTCGGACAAAAGTCAGCTGCGGGTGGTGGGGGGGGGGGAGACAAAAGACTTTAATATTGAGTTTTGCCACTCGCAATGTAAAATATACTAAGGGCTGTCCGAAAAAATTCACACGCTTTCTTGGGTGGGACTCAAAACCCTGCTCCTGCTTATTAGGCCAAAAAAAAAAAGTCTCCGGTTTCTGGTATGCGCGCGCGTCGCCATAGCCATGCGTGTCGGCAAAATGAAACAGTTTTTTTCAATGAAAGATGATGTCTCAAAACCGCCAAACTCACTGGTTTGACTAGAATCCTGCTGCTGCACATTTTTAACGTGTTTTTAGATTGGGTTATGGTCGAGAATAAGCTTTATGTGGCCTCTCTGTACTCCCATATATTTGCACTAAGTTTAGTCGGGCACCATTTGCAGTCATCAGCCGAAATTTTGAAGGAAAAAAATCAGGTAAAAAAAAAAAAAAGCCGCGTCGCCGCACCACTTTTTGGGCAAGCTCCATACCAGAATTCGGAGACTTTTTTTTTTTTGGTCTTAGCTTTGACTGAGTTTTGCAAAGGGGATTTTTCTTCCTTCATAAACATATTTACAAAAAGGAGGGGGGCTAGCAATGTGTGGATATTGTACAGAATAACTGTCTTTACTTTTGGGTAGGTCGTGAGTGTAAGGTGATTTTGTACCCAGAGTGGGTTCTGCACTATGTAGCCTACCCACGGCCACCAAGGAAGGACACGTGGTGTGTATGTGGTCCATCAATGATTGTGAATATGTTCCTGAGTTTATGAAAATGGCAGGAAGTTTCTACTTGAGCAGCCTACCTTCATGTACCGTGGTCGAGTCTTCCGAACCCTCTCCACCAAGTTACGGACTCCCTGGGATGTTGGGTTGTCCATGTGCAGCAGCTTGCTGGAGTCGATGTCAATCTGGGCCGGGGAGTGGACCCCAAAGACGTCCTGGACCCAATCGTTGCTGACGTGTAAGCCAATCCACAGGAACATGACGTTGCCGTTCTCTAGGAGGTAGACGCCATTGTCACGGAGACGTTCCACAGAGCAACGGAGAGCCGTCGGCAACGATGGAGAGTTGGGGTTCAAGTCATGCTAAGAAAGAAAAGAAAAAAGAAAATCAAAATCACAAGTGTCATCAACTACTGATTTTTTCATTTGGGTTCCTCAATGATAAAGAGTGTTGTAGTCTTTTTTTGAGACAATAAGGTAGTGCAAAGCCTGAACCTAAGCACCAAAAGTATGAGCAGGTGCAATTGAGGACCACTGGTTGACAGGTGGTTGAATCTTGACATATGTTGCTTTTTGCGAGCAAATATTTAAGTGCAAATATCTCTAGTTTAAAGGTGCTCAAATGTCATCTTGAAACTTCTTAGTCCTGGTTCCTTGCTGTGCATTATGACGTGTGCAGCTACTGGTGCTGCTACTGGGGATTCTACGGGCTTGAGAAAAACAGAGCACTTAGCAATATAAGCCATATCCGAACGCTTGGCTACCGCCAGCAACAGCACGCAAGTCTATGGGAAGAGGCTGGAGTGGCTAGCCAGTGGCTTCAATAGGCACGTGTGTTATTTCCGGCCGTAGACAAGTGATTCGCACACGGCCTAATACTTTATATGGTTCTTGATGTGTCTTGCAACTGAAGTGCAAAAAAATGTGCCATTTGTTTCCTATACGGAGGAGGAATTCGGAAGATTCAAAACAAGGAGAAGACAACCAAGTTGGCGTTGAGACTTACCAGTGGTGTGAGTCTTGGGTAGAAGTAGACGGCCGTTGAGGCCACATCCATGGAGCGGACTGTATCCATGAGCCAGCTGCGATCGTCCGTTGTGATGTCCGTGCTGCCCGACAGCGCGTCACTCTTCAGTACGCAGTTGATGTACAGAGGCAGTAGCTTCATGCACTCTGGTAGAATCAACTGTTGTGAAACCACGCAGAAAACAAGGAAATAATGGTAATCCGAAGCTTATATGGGCTCTGTGCGCCAACAAAAGAGGGCGCCTTTTTACCTAGCAATGACTTCCCATGGGCGGGACACATACATTTCGCTGAATGACGCGCACGCACTGTTGCTTGTGTGTGACGCATGTACACCAGGGGAGGGTACTATGTACACGTAGTGGCCGCGCATCGCGGCAAACTATTGCTGTCAGGCAAGATGGCGTCGATTGGTCACCCCAACTGTACTTTCTTTGCCGGTGAGGAGGTACTTGTGAACGGAGCAGATAGCATCTCATAGTGCTTCACAATTCTTACCCCTGCTCATCAAATAAATGATACTAGTTTTCTTCTTTGTTAGCTTGAGATGCATGCAATCTGGGCCCAATTCCATGGCTCTGCTTACCGTTAGCAAAACATCCCTGCTTAGGCCAAAAAAAAAAAATACTCAGTCTCTGGTCAGACCAAAGTTCCGGAATTGATGCGGCGACGCGGCTTTTTTTTTTCTTTTCCCAAGCTTGGATTGTACAGACAAGGTGGGGTACTGTTTTGCTTTTTTTTGGTGTCCTCATATACATTGGTGTCCTCCATAATTTGCCTTAGTGCCCTCAATCATTTGCCTTGGTGTAATTTCCCATTCCTTGGTGCTCTTTGGTAAAAAAATTGAGGAGGTGGGGCATTAGAGGGCGCTGTTGGAGCTACCGCGGAACATTTTTGGAAAAAAAAAAAATTGACGGGTATGATTAAAATCGCCGCGCGCGCTGACCAGAGACCGACTTATTTTTTTGTTTGGCCTTACGGGTAAGTTTATTTCACAGAGTAGCAAGGAAGTGTGGCTTCTGCACATGCGTACATCCCGTCACTAAGGATTCTGTGCTTACAGGGTTAGCACAGAATTTTTATGCTAGAGCAGTTAGCACAAAATGGTGATGGTAAGCGCGGAATTCTGTGGTAAGCACAGCCATGAAATTGGGCCCTGGTCTCTATCCATACACTAGCCATTCTACAGACGCAATAGAGGCAATTGTAAAAGTGTCTTGCCAAGAACATAAAATCCATGTTCCCTATCACGGTTCCAACCACGTACCATCGCACTTATGTTGAACACTGTAATCACTGGACCACGGCGTGCCATCTTGAAATGTGCATTACATTGATGGTATAATCAGCGAATATAGTTACAGCAATATTTTTTTTTCTTTTCTTGATGTTACAAGATAGATCCAAATTTTTCGTGTTCACTGAATCAACTGTATAGTAAAGCATTCACACTGTACATGTAGTTATAATAGTTTTAAAATATATTGTATTTATAATATTTGCTTAACACCTATGCATTATTCAAATAATGTTTTATCTCACTGTATTGAATTTTATTGTATTTGTAATGTATTGTATAATTATACATGTTTGTAGTCATTATTTATTGTATGCAGGGCCCCAATGGAAACCAGTTTTAAACTGTTTGGGCATAAATAAATAAATAAATAGCAATGCAATAAGAACAGATTTTGAGAGATATTTCAAACATCTTCTGATCTTAGACAAGCGTAGTTGTTAATGAAGGGTAAATTTTTGTGACGTCCCTCAAAATATTTCAACAGCAGGTGACTTACTTGGCCCTGTGATGATGGAGTAGCACAGTTTCGTCGATAGCAAGCGAGGGTGGCGGCACATCGATTGGTCAGACCCTCTCTGATAGCCTTAGGGTTGGAGGTCAGAACAGAATTCACAGCTGATACGAGAAAAATAAATAATTCTCCTGAGTTATTGTCATTCTTTCTTTGGAATGAAACACAAAGTACTGTAGCTTGGAAGCATGAAGGGAACCCAAAAGCAATGATGACGAAATGTTCAATAATGGACTGTTCTCGATTTGTACATAAGCCCCGCCCATCAGCCCCGCCCATCAGCCCTGCCCATTTTTGCTTTGTGTACACTCCTCACAGTGCATGTGACCAAGTTTGACCAAGCTACTGTGAGCACCTGACCACAAGTCCTGATCTGATTAGTCGATGCAAACTGTTTGATTAACAGACACGAAGGGTCCATAGAGCTACGAAGACCACCTGCCTTAATATGCTGGGAAATCCCCAACAAACAGGAAGGAACTGAAACGTTTAACTTCAGGTTTGGATTCCAACTGACCTTGCTTGGACAGAAAGTTGATGATCGCGTCCATCTCACAATTGCGGTACATGTCGGCCATCTGCTGGCAGCAGTTGTAGGATTGGTTGATAACACGCAGTCGTCTTTGACCCGATACGCTGGTGTACAACACAGCGACCTGTGAAACGGCCAAAAAGAGTAACGTCTTACTCGTGTTCAATATACTAAACATTGAAAGACATAATTCAAGAAAGTGCCAACTTTTTATGCTACCCCTTATCAGTTTCGCTTTGTGGTTTATTTGGAAATTTCCATTGGTGGTTATTTTGAAAATCAAGAAATTTTTATAGAATGGAAGAAACAAATGGGAAATGTGTATGTCACACGGTGGCAGAAAAATATCATACTTTCTTCACATTGAGTGCCTTGGAGGATGTAAACCCAAATGAAACGATTTGGAGGATGCTCCTTTGCTTATCAAAAGGATTAGCATTTCTTGGAGTGTGTGATTACACGTACCTCAAGTAATGTCGATATGGTAAACATACGGACTTTGAAGTCGGAAAAATGTTTTAGAGGGTCTGGAGCAAGTGTTTAACCAGTTCGAGCCGGGTTTATTTTGACAGCGACCGGACTAGTGGGATTATTTTCCACGAACCTCGATGCCACACAGGTTCAGGCCTTGATCTGCGGGTAGCACACCCTGATTTTTCCCGCCTCACTCGCTGAGAGCGGGTCACTGACAGATATTTCCGGCCTGGCTTGTTGCGGGTTTATCAGTCGTCCAATCAGAATTTCGGAAAACTTTTGCATGTATACACGTCCTCCGACGCGAACTGGTTAAAAGTGGACTTTGAAAAAAATCTGTTGACGTCCCGTTACTGAACAAACGAGCATGTGATACCTGTACGAAGGCTCCTGCATCCTCAGACAGTTTATCGTCATGTTTGATCTCCACGGTGATGGCTTTGTCACTATCTATGGCCGCCAGCTCCACGTCTGTGGTGTTGGCCATGTAGAAATTACCAAAGAAGTCCGTGGGTCGGATACCGGTGCTGGTACGGACACGGAGGACTGCATCAAAGCCGATCGGACGCTGGATGTTGTTGGTCAGGTCCTGGATGAAACGTTCGCCATCGTTGGCCGCCTGAAATGAAAATCAACCAAATATTTAATTTGAAAAATAAATTTGTCTTTTCTGAAATGAGAATGGTAAGTTTTGTCTGTTTTCCTTTGCTAGTTTTCGTTTATTGTATTTAAAGGGTATTCCTCAATATGTATCAATAAATGATCAGTGGTGGACAGCCGAATTTTGTGGTATTTCTATTAAAATAGAAATAAATTGTGAATAGAGTTTGCAAATTACGTGAAAATTTCAGTTATAATAACTATGCTATTTTTTATTAAATGGAGCGAACCACGCCTTTTTAATATATTTTTCTAACTAGGTAACTTTCTTTTTGACTCACACTGTGCAGGCAGATATGAAAATTATGAATTTTAGATGGTTAAAGGGAATATACATCATTTGCTTTTGCTGTAATTTTCAGAAATGGAGGGAATTGGGGGGTTGGAAATATAAAGCAGATATAGTTACACTGACTTTTTGGAGGTTTTGGGTTCGAAAATGCTATAAAAACCAAGAAAAACGATCATTTTCCTGTAGTCTGGTTCCCTGACTCCATATAAGAAGAAATGGAGCAGTTTACATACATTGGGGAATTGTAAGGTCAGGGAACCAGTCTAGCTGGCTCGTACCCGTTCATAGGTTTGTAATCGATTGCAAACAAGCGCAATGGTCAATTGGGGCCAGTATTTGAAAAAAAAGCCAGTTGTTTCCAACGCTGATCGGCCGATCAGCGTTGGAAATTGATACAAAAATACCACTTTTCTTGAAAATGACAGTATACCAGGTGCCATAATTTTACAGGATGCTTTAGACTGTCATTTACCAACATCCTATTAAGGTATTTCGCAAAAACTTGGTAGTTTTATTTTTCGATGTTTGCAAATGTTGTGTATTCCCTTTAATAATAATAAACTGCATCTCATATAAATAAACTTGATTAGGCAATTCTCTATCAAGATTTAGAAAAGGATTTTATTGAGCATTTTCGTTTGTTTGTTGTGCAAAGTTAGTGTCAATTATGTAAAGAATCATGCCTCCTGCATGGAACCAAAACGGATTCCAAGAAGGTTGCAGTCGCCAAAGCATTGAAACCATGTTAGGAAATCCCAGGTAGTATTGGTCAGTTGATATACCCACCTGGAAGTAGTTGTACTTGTAGCATTGCCCACCGGTCTGTGAGGATACCTGACCGATAGTGGCAACGTCTACGTAGGAGTTGGGGAAGAGAAAGAGATCCACGCTACAGCCGGCCGCTACGCAGTCCTGACCGAGCTTGGTGTAAAAGTTGGTCTGTGGCGACAACAATGTCTGAACAGAGAAAGTCAAAGAGAAAAGGTGCGTTAACAATATCAATGTACAATATAGTCCCATAGTGTACACTGAAAACAACCTCTGATTTTTTTTTTTTTATGTGGCCCAAAATATCACCACGTGATTGTGTTTGCAAGTACGTTTTGGAAACACCCTCTTGCAGATGTTGTTTCAGCAGCATGTACAGATGCAGTTAGTCTTGAGATCCAACATAACCCTGACCCTGCCAGATGCAACGCAGTGCAGCAGGTGTATTCCCACAGACCTTTACACCTGTTGTTTCAATTATGAACCAATGAGAACTTGTCCTGTTGAACAATGCCACAGTTGTGTCCTGTAGTTGGTGACCACAGACTCTGCGGCATTGTGGCCTTGGGATTTTTTACCTGATGGATCTTGCTACACTGAGCAGGCTTGTCATTTTGCCAAGTGCTGTATGTTGCTGTGTTTAACAGTGTTTTTACCGTAGAGGATTAGGGATAATAATCATAAAATTTAGATTCAAAAAGTTAATTTTGCACCTTTTCTTTTTCAGTTCCCAGGAGCTTTCGGTCGTCTCTGTTCTTGAGTTTGCCCGGGGCGTCCGCAATGGGGAGGGACGCATGGAAGACAAAGAGCTTGCCGACACGATCGGATGACTGCAACAAGAAAGAGGAAAAGCTGACTTAGTTTGATTAACCCAATTGTTCCTGTATTGCCCACACTACCCTGTCCGTTACTCAATATACAACCCAAAATTGGTAAACACATGAAAAATCATATTATGTACACTTACAAATTCATGGTCCAATCAAACAATAAGTCATCCTGCAGTGAATGTTATCTTGTTACACTGCCAAACGCTTTTATTTTTTATTTTTTACACATTGTCCTGGAATCTTTCACACTTACTTTTATGGCTTCCAGACCCGCCTGTACCACAGGCCCCAGCATTGTCTCCGTTTCTCTTGTCTCAGCAAACATCTGAGGGATCTGCTCCAACAAGCTGAAGGGAAAACAACAAAATCTTTGATTAACACTGTCCTCTGGGGTAAGCAAAGTTTCTGCATGCAATGCAAAGTGCAGTACGCTCCATGTAAACATTTAGCAGAGCAGCACAGTGGGCAAAACTTGTGATACTGACTTCCAAAGGCACAAATTCTTGCAAGTACAGAGGACACTTGGAAAAAAAACAGCGTATTTTTTTTTTAAGATTTACATTTGCATTTACACCTCTCTGTGGCAGTGAAAGAAATTTTCTGTGGTGCGACCATTGGACTTGAGAATGCCAACAGACGAAAAACTGGCCAACATCTGCACTCGATCTTAAATCTGCCATTTCTGAAGAAGCAAAAGACACAAGGGAAATGTTCCCAAAGTCCAAGTGGATTTTCGATCACATACCTCTCAATGACAGCCTTGGATTCCGACAGGTTGACCAAGAACCCATCCAACAGAGGGAGGAACACGTCGTGCACATCCGACACCACCAGCATCTGGGGCTGAGCGAGGGCGCTATTCAGGTTGTAGAAGTGCAACGAGGAGTCGTAGGTGACAAAGCCGACACGGATGACTGACTCCTTCATGCCGTGCTCACTGAAAAATCCAAAGGGAAGAATTGAACAATTATTAACAAAACTGTTTCCAAACTGGTGCCAATCTCAAGCTGCATAACACAGAATGTACCCTAACACAGAATTAATAATATTCTCTGTCAAAAATCATGTCTAGAATGTCAACTACCATGGCAACTTCTCCAGCAAAGAGTGGAGTTCTTTGCAGAGTAGATGCACCATCCCAGTCTTGATGCTCTGATAGGTCACATCGATCATGAAGATGAAGGCCGGTGGTTTGGGGAGCGTGTTGTTCTTGCAGTAATCGGCCGTGGCCAGGTACTCAAACGTCCCACGGCTCAGCTCCGCTCTCTCGTACGCGTCCACTCGGCGGCTGTTGTGATCCAGGGGTTGGAAATACTCCGGCGGAACTGTTGGGATATACAGAAAGGATGGATTATTACGTGAAAGGTTGTCTTCAAAGTTTGTGTGAATTTGTGCGTTCATTATTTTCTGTACCTCCAATGGCATTTTTTTTTAAAAACCCACATTCCCTTACTGTGCAATGAATAAAACTACATACATGTACTACAAAAAGTAGAGGGAGAATTCAAACTGCGTGTTTCAAGTTGATTTCATTTGATTCTAATGCAGAATTGCCAATGCCATCCCTATCATGGTGTGCAAATATGGATTCATAGGCGTATATACTGACACATACCTTGGAGAGATTTCCATATACGAAGTTCACTCAACACCCTGTGTACAAACCCTATGAGATTGGACTGAAAAATTCTAAGTGTTTTCTAAGAAAATGCTTGTATTTTCTCACTGCTCAAATTGACTTTGATGACATGAAATTGCTATCTGGGGGCTTGTTAGTCAATACAGAGGAAAATTAGTGAACTTCTTATATGGAAATCTTTCCCATACCTTCAGTGATACATGTACAGAAGGCACAGGAGAATCGCCGACCGCCGTCCACAAACTGCATGAAGGAGCACATGTAGGCCTTGCAGCGATTGCAGCGCACTGGGCCATTGGGGCCGTGGTCTACGATAGGCGGTGGTGGCTAGACAAAATAAACAAGTACATTTCACAGTAAGAGACTTATTGCGGGGATTGCTGCACAAATTTACATACTGTCATCAAAAGTTGCCATGATCACAAAATATCTAACAAAAGAACTTCAATTTCACATCAGAAGCGAAAAGATTAAATTCTGAATTCAGAATTAAAATTGGGACTCCACATTTTTAAGGGATCAAGTCCCTTAGAAGTCAATTCTATTTCATCTGAAGTTATATTGCAAACACTTCCAAGCAAATTTTATGTACTTAACTTAAATGTTTAAGCTGCAGATTAAACCATTTTAGAAGTAACTGTCGATTTTGTGATTCATGTACATATTATGGTTTCCTCAATTTTTTCGCCAGGCAAATTTGAAGACGAATCTGAAATAAGTCAGGATCATTTCCAAAAATGTTGAAGTCATCAAAACCTAATCGGAATTTGGCATAATTTTTAGCACTTCAAAAAAAGTTTTCCAGTTCATTTGTCAATTCAGTGGAGTTGGCCTCAAAATGAATAATTGTTTGGGAGTACCTCGTTATCTGGTAGCTTAGCGAAGGGTGAGATGACCAGTCCTATGGGCGCCTGTGATTGCTTGATCATGTCTTGGGTACAGGGAATGTTGTACATAGTGGAGCGCATAAACCGCGGACTGCAATTGCCTAGATCGAGACAAAGCAAAAGAATATTATTTATTTTCTGCTGACAAATCCAAAGATTCTTCATCAGCACCAAAGGCAATACACAGCTCGCTAGCCTGACCAAAATAATGTGGTGTAATGTCACAACAATGAAGAAAATTTCAGACAGTACTGAAGTTGCAATGGCATTTAGATAATGCCCAGTATTAAAATGTTGAAGAGGTTTGTTTATGAAAGCATATATTCCAAAGTCAAAGAGAAGCAATGCATGCCTGGATTGCTAACCTGTCCGCACAAGTGCGATGATGTAGATAATTGTAATAATTTACTGTTGAACAACAAACAACCGTCGAAATATGAATCATATCTGTTCTGTGTCAAAATGAAGTACAATGGTATTATCCATAAGGTATAAAACTGAATATTATGATATAAATCACATACCTTGATCAATAACCTGGAACTCTGTTGTGACAAGTGGCGGGACAAGGCCTCTGACGTTGGTTATAAACTGCTGATTGCCGCGATTCTTCTTATCGTCTTCAATCACTTGAATCTGTTGGGGAATTCATTAGTGGACGTCAACTCAAAACATGTCCATCCTGAACACCAATGTGTCAAATTCTTTATGAAGTGGGAAAAGTTTTCTAAAATAAAAAGCTAACTTTTCTGTATGCAGTCTTTCTAAAGTAATCGATGGCGCAAGGACACACTTTCAGTGTTTAAGCCACTTACCACGCTAGGCATTTGGTCTGGATCCAATCTCTTCTGTTGAGGCTGGCCCATTCCTGGTTGGGCCATTCCAGGCTGGGCCATTCCAGGTTGGGCCATTCCCGGTTGGCCCATTCCTGGTTGGGCCATCCCAGGCTGGCCCATTCCAGGTTGGGCCATTCCCGGTTGGCCCATTCCAGGTTGGGCCATCCCCGGTTGGGCCATTCCAGGCTGGCCCATTCCTGGCTGGCCCATTCCTGGCTGGCCCATTCCTGGCTGGCCCATTCCAGGTTGGGCCATTCCTGGCTGGCCCATTCCAGGTGGGGCCATTCCTGACTGTCGCATTCCTGGTTGACCCATTCCCGGTTGTCCGACATTTCCATAGGGTGGAGCACCCCCAGGTCTCAGAGGACCCCCAGCCGGAGACATTGGGGGCATAGGACCACTAGCTGGTCCTGGCTGCTGGTATCCCATAGTTGGCCCACTGACAGAGTACGGGGGACCAGTTGGGGGTGGGGCACCAGACTGGGTTTGGTACATTGCTGGCGGGGCTGAACTGGCTGGCATGCTCGACGGGGGCATTCCTCTATGCTGGGGGGCATTCATACTAGAAGGGGGGCCAGGCATGCCTGGACCAGGGGGACCAGCCATGCTTGGAGGAGGCTGGCTATGGGCCATGCTTGTTGGTGGAGGACCCTAAAAATAAAGACAATATTTAGAAGTTATGCTGTCCAGAAGGAAGTGATAATTGATGTAAGTAAAAAATTGGAGGTTTGACAATGTGATAGACTTGCTTCAAGTGAGTTTACACACACAAAATTTCCCATTTAAAAAAAAAAATTGGTGGTGAAAAAAGACATTAACCTCCTACAAGGGCTTCCAAGAAAAACTAGTGAAAGTACAATGCATAAAAAAGGAAGGACCAAGAATGGCATCCTTATGCCACTTTTTTCTATATTATCTCAATAAAGGTCAGTCTTTGCAAAAACGTTTAAAAGACATGGATCTGGGACTGAGAAACATTTCCAATTTTGTTCAGAAAGACATGACTCTCCGTTCCATATACTTTGTACACAACCGCTGAAGTGGCGTCTGGATATCACATTTTTTTCAAAAGGACATTTTTCCTAACTCACCATCCCTCGTTGTGGACCACTAAGGTTCATTCCAGCCATCTGATTGGACAGTTGGCCTGGTGCGGAGCCATACTGCTGCTGCTGTGGTTGGTAGTAACCTGCTTGACTGGCTGGGGGCTGTGTTTGGGGTCCTGGTTGGGCGGGTACTCTGAAAATATATTGTAAAGAATTACTTAACCTTAATTAACAGCTACATTTTATATATGATTTTATCATTATTAGATTTGAGTACCATCATACATGTATAAGATTTTCTTTACTCAACTGGATATCAAAAGGCGGCATTTGATTGAGATAACTGACAACAAAGGAGGAACACCAAAGCAAAAACACTAACCTATTCTGTTGTCCTCCGTATCCCGTCTGGCCTGGACCAGTTGGCGGTCCACCGAGAGGGGGCGCCCCACTGCTCGCTGGAGGTGGACCACCGTAACCGTTATTCTGTGGAGGTTGCCCATAAGCTGGCTGCTGATTGGAGGAAGTGGGTGGAACTCCTTGGCTGGAAGGGCCGTTCATTGCAGGCACACCGGGGCCGTAACCCTGCTGTGGATAGTTGCCCCGCCCCTCACCAAAAGCCCCCATGGGCTGTTTGGCCCCCTGGGCTGGGGGTCCCATGGGTGGAGGGCCTGTAGTGGGCGGGGGCTGTGTATTCACCCCACCGTAGTAATTGTTTGTGGGTTGCGCACCGTACTGGCCTGGACCCCTACCCTGGGGTGGGGGCGCTCCATAGTTCTGCTGCTGGTTGTACCCTCCTTGTTGCTGTGGGGGCCCCTGATTCATATACTGTGACATTTTCGTCGTAACCAGTTGTCAAAAAACAGAAAAATATTGACGCCTGACGAGTGACGGCCTTGCTCAAACTCCCAACTTGCCGAAGATGTGAATGCCTAAAATTGCAAATAACCTTTTCATTTATCAGATATCTACGTATAATACGCTGTCCCCTGTGACGAATGCGTAAACACGTAGACTTAAATAATGTCATTAACAACACATCACCATTCATTCAGTCACATCACACATGTCGTAAACAAAATGGCCGCCGGCAACTACCGTCATCTAAACCCTCTGTTTTTCCACACTTCCAGATGCGAAGTCAAGCTGAAAATCTAAAGTCTTTGTAAGGAGACTAGGAACTTCCTTCGCTTAAATTTGTAAGGTTGTCTTGGGTTGTTTTTTCGGTAAAATGTTGAAAATATTGAGTGACTTACAGAGTTTTTCTAATGCCACGTATGGTTCGCCATTGGCAGCTCCCGGATGTGCACATGCGCAGTTCAGCCACGTCGGCAAGTTTGCTTAGCTGGTTCGCGGCCATGTCTGTGCGAGTATTCAATAGGCAGTGCTGAGATGGACGCTTACCAACTGCAAGAAAAAAGCAGACAAGTTGCCGAAAAAGTTAAAAACTACACGTCACCATTTTTAAACGGCCTTGCTTCTAAATATGAGAGATTCAGTCATAATTATTGGATAGAAGGTTTCCTTGAGAACATTATTTTATGAGCATCTTTAAAAAGTAAAGTTTGTTCAAAATGTCATCCCCCAAGCAGTTTGCAAGGCCCACTTCTATTTTCAGCTCACCCACCCACCGCCTGCCCAATTACGCAGTAAAAGGAAAACAACTCTTGAAAACCAAAAATACGTATGTACGTATGTCGGGGCATGGTCGGCGATTGTCACTTAAATTTTGCACGAAGGGTGGGGACTTTACTTCAAAAGTGACAATCCCTACGTCTTGGTTGGGACAACCCGGGGGGGCATTAGTGTTATGGTAAATCGTCCATGCAGCCACATATAGTAATTGATTTACTGCGGGAGAGGGGAGGGCTGGAGTGCATAATTTCTTTACGGGGGAGGGGCACTGAAAGTTTTTAATTTGTTTTTAAATGGGTGCCCGGGGAGGAGCATCAGGGGGGAGGGGGCATCCACTGGGGGCTGGCACACCCCGGTAGTTACGTCACTGGTGCAGTGAAGCCAATTTCGAACAAAAATGCATCATTATTATTATTTATTATCCACATCCAACTATCAGAAAAACCGCCAATTACAATAAATAATAAATAATTAGTGTGGAATAAAGCAATAGTATTTTTCGAACACAAAAATACGGCAGACATCTAGTCAAAATAGAGGACGCCATCAACGTCCAATAAACCACTTCAATCGATTTATTTGGAGCCTCGGTTTCAAATTCGCTTTCCTTCAAAAGATAAAGCAGGCATTCCGAAGTACTTTAACAAAAGGAATAGTCCTTGCCCATAGGAGAGTAACAAAATACACCCATTGTCATCAGTGGACTAAGGGATAAGATTGATTTTATTGTAATGAACTCTTTGTACTGTATTGACAAAACCTGACTTGAATTATTGGCGTCAGCTCAGGCAAACTTATCGAGTGCGCGTTCTTTCGATGCACCTCAGTTTAGAGAGGGGAACACAACCATGAAAGTTTAATACTTGACTTCATATTGGTAAGTTTTGTCCCAATAATGAACCGCTTGAGGCAACTGGTAGATTTCAGAAACGAGATAACATAGACCAGTGGTAATCTCAGGGGCACTTTTGTTGAAAATGTGCCCCATCATGACATTAAATCCTGAGATTGATGGGACTGTTCTTTTTTTTTTTATAAAGTACTACGTGAGATTGTTATGCTTCACGTGAAACAATCCGTACCAATTACTTCCCTGGCCCTGCGTGCGAAGATATATAAGGGGCACGGAATCGTGACATAATTTGCAATGATTGGGGCGGAAGACTATACACACAATGTTTTGTAACTAATTCGCAAATGTTTTTGCCTGGGTGTTGACGCACAAAGAGGGCGCTGTCCCTTTTGAATTTCACTCGGGTCAATGACCCAGGTGCTAGGTATGGTGCCAACAAAAACACGATGTTGTGGGCTCCTCAAATAGGACCGGGAATACAAACGCATGTGGAGCGAGTCCCTCTAAAGGGTGCACCCCTGCATTAAAATTCCCATAAACTCCATTGCTAACTTGCCCATACTTCAAAATTCTTTTAAAATACTCAGAACTCTCACATGTATTTAAGCTGCACAGAAAAAATGATGATCAACGTGCCATCTTTCATTTTCTTTTCATTTTTGGTGAAAATGACAATTGATTTTTCGAGGAATTCTCACCCAAAGAAGCCGACCCCTTTTTTTCCCAAAGCGGAAAAGTAGCCATCTTGAAAAACGATCCCTCCACAACATGGCAAAATTATAAGTATAGTGCCACTTTCGAGCCCAATTACATCCAAAATGCTTAGAATTGGAAGCCATATCTCTTCAATTCCCCAATTTAATGGCCCTCAAAACTGTCTAATAATATAGAATATTTTGAGGGCATAACTTTCATTCATGAGCTCAGCGGATGGGTTTAGGCCTATTTACCGGTGTCAGTGCACCCTGAAAGATATAGACCATCAGCCCCGGGGGTTTGGTTGGTATCAAATGAGGGGAATAATGCTCATTGTGATTTTTGGCAAGGCATGCACCCCTGCAGTTGGAAAATAAAATTATGTGATAACATTGCAGCGGTGGCAGCTGTTTAAGTGCTGTCACTTTAATAAAAAAAAAAATGGCGGCCAAACATGCTTGTTACCATTATAATTCATCTGGTAACAAAATTAGCGGCCATTTTGAAAACAATTAAATTGATAACACCAAAAAACTGACACCGCTCACACTGCAAAGCTGTCACAGATATTGGAACTCTAGATGTGCATACCTTGCCAAAAATCGCTATGACCATTGCCCCTTTTGATACCGGTGGCCCATTTTTTTGGGCCGATCCTGGTAGCTTAATAGGAGACTAGACGCACACGTCACAATGTATGACGATATAACTAAATATAACAAAATATTTACAACCGAGTCAGTTTCAAAATATCTCAGTTCACTTTTTAAGCTAATAGTCGAGTACGTATGCCGGCCCATAGAAAGCAATAAAGGCGAGTTGAAATTAAAGAAACCACATGCGGGTTTTTTGGGCATTACGACCAAAACAATGTAGAATGTAACGTTTTACAGGACAAAAAGCTACCTTTTCAATTCTGACAAAACATTGCTCCTTTTTTCAGTCTGCAAATAGCTTTTTATTGTAACGAGAAAGATAACAGATAAAATCTCTAGCGGTTCTTGGAAAAATTAAATTTCTAATGACGTGACAGAGCTTCGCCCAATCAGCTTACTGCTTATAATAACCTCTCGTTCCGACATTGTAAACGAAAGGGAACTGAGATACAACATTTGCAAACATCACAAAACCAAATGATCCAATTATTACGAAATACCTTACTGTATTGTTAGGGAGTGACAGTCAAAAGCATCCTGTAAAATCGTGGCTCCTGGTGTGCTGACATTTTCAAGAAAAAAATGCATTTTTCCAACGCTGGTCGGCCGACCAGCGTTGGAGAAAACGGGCTTATTTTCAAAAACTGCTCCTAAGTCTTTATATTTAGTTATTCTGCATTTCCTTTGCAACTGATTACACACCAGCGAAGAGGTGCAAGCCTGCCAGACTGATTCTCTGACCTTACAATTCCCCAAAGTCTACAAATTGCTCTGTTTCATCTCAATTGGGGTCAGGGAACCGGACTACAAGAACATGATTAGTTTTCTTGATTTTTCCAGCATCTACGAGCCCAAAACGTGAAACAAGTCAGTGTTACAATATTTGCTATAACATACTAATCATCCAAATCCATTTATTTCTGGAAATTGCAGCAAAAGCAAATGTTGTACATTCCCGTTCCCAACACGGTAAACGAAAGTTAATTGTCATGCGTGTATTATACAATACAATCTGATCATGAAGGATTATGTCATGCCCTCTTGGTGTTTGTTGATTTCGTCGTTCCATGGAGCTCGGTGGAATATAGCGGTCCTGTCCTTGTTGTCCATCGACTGGGTGGGATCGATTTGGATTTGCCTCTCTCATTAATTATGAATGACACGCCCCTTGCAAGGGAGATTTTAATGATGGGCTGGGGCATTTGTTTGCCCTTTGGTTGCAAAGGTCGCGTTACCGTCTTTGAAGAAGTGCTATAGGTGTAGTGGTACGAGCTCAATTCGAAAGAAAAGGACGAAGGGGTATGGGGGGCTATAATGGTAAAACACCTTTTTTTTCTTGGTGGATGAGGGTGAGCGTGGTCGGGTAGTGGGCGTAGTTTTACAAAATTCCAAAAAACGATGATTATAGGATGACAATTTAGTCCACAAAAAAGACAACCTGACGACTCTGGGGAAGAGCTGTCTCGCGAGACGACCACGAAACGACCACGACAATGACGACACCAGTGGTTTATATTTTTTCTGCGGCTGCCCGACAGTTGCAGGCCCAACAAACAATAAAAAAAAACCCAAGCAAACGCCCCAACAAACAACCCAATAACCCAACACCCCCCCAAAAAAAGCATTAACAAAAAAGAAACATGAAGCCCTGTTACCATAGCGATCAAATCTATTATTATCTGCGACAAACCGAATGCATTGTGCCTATACCCTTGTTAGATAACACAGCACTGATCGAAGCTAGAGGTATACTAAGACAACTTATTAGCCGGCGGCAAGACAGAAAACTTTTCTTCTCGAATCGATAGTTTTTTTGTGAAAAATTAACGAGGTCGGGAGTACAGCATTGGTCGATAGTTTGGCACAAAGAAAGGGGTGGCTTTTTAGGGGGGCTACATGCGGGGCCCCATCTTTGTCCTGTACAGAGAAGCTGGTTGGAGTTGTAGAGACGGGATCCTTCTCCCAGAGAAATAAATCTGGCTTTCTGTCTCACAGCGAAGATTTTGTTTTCTTTTGGATGGAACTTATTTCCAGTTGAAAAGTGGAATTCAGCTTACTAAGATGAGGTAAGTGTGGAGAAGTTTGTACTTACCCAAATCCCTGAACATTTTTTTTATTGTAATATTAAAGATTTGCTCCCAAGTTCCTTTCCCCAGAATACCCTCTGTAACAGCAAAGTACGCTTAGCAACTATAGTATACCAATATTCCGATTGATTTGTAAATGTTGCTCTGGTTTACCTTTTCGAAATGACTCGATTTTCGATTTTGTTATTCACTTCTCCCATCCTCCAAAATACTCAGGGTAATACTGTGCCGAATGACTACAGAAATGTTCGTAATTGTGTTTATGTTATTCTCGTTTACCCTTTTTTACCCGCCAATACAGCAAGAACATAATGACAGCAGGCATTTCGTCTGGGTATCAGAACGATGCCTTCGTTGTGATGCCTTCCGAGTCGATTCCACTACCAAACTACCATCAGAACAAGGCCCCGGTTGAGAGCAAACCCGCTGATGAGCCCGAGAAGGTGTGTACATCCTTTTGCTTTCTTTCACAAGTCTTTGCGCGAAGGCTGGTTCAAGAGTTGCATTCAAAGTCATCTCACAAGTCAAGTAGTCTTTACTATTATTCAAATGATAATAACATAAAGGCATATAAAACTATACAGGTATTCTTTGTCAGAGTTTATTTCATGTAACTTGTGTTTGACTTGTTAATTTACTTGCACTTGTTTGGAAGATTAAGACCATCTGCCGATTCAACCATTGACGATGGAAGAGAACGCGAATTTCGCTGCGATTTTTTTTTTCGGGAGGTCAAATTCGCCTCACATTGTCATCGCGAATGTTTTTTTTTTTAACTTCAAACTTGTTTCACATTCGCATGAAGTTTTATGAGGTCTTCATTTTAAAGCGTAGATAGTGAGGTGAAACGTAAACTCGAAGATCTTGACGGACGCGTTTTCAAACGAACAGCGGTGTTCGAAGCAGATAGAATGCCGTAACATAATTGCTCCGACCGTAGGCATTTTTTTCAAATCGGTATAAATCTCTTTTCAATTAACAGGATCAAACTCCGAAGACGTTCGGCGGGCTGGTGTCTGAATTCGCGGACAACACCACAGCACACGGCGTGTCCCGTATCGCCAATGCTTCATCCTGCATTGCAAGCTTCATATGGCTCGTCATCCTCTGTGCCGCCTTTTCTGGGTTCTTCTACCAAGGAACCAACCTGGTGCTGGATTTCTTCAGTTGGCCCTACGGCACAACCATCGATATCATCACCAATACCTCCGTGGATTTCCCAGCCGTGACCGTCTGCAACATGAACCGGTTGAGGCGCTCCGAGCTGAAGGGGACCCGGTTCGAGGGAGTCATCGCCGTGGACGGCGGTGTCACCGGTGGAGATAACGACTATTCTTGGTTTTTCGATTGGTCTTCCCAAGGGGATTTTTATACGCAGTTCCTTTCCAGTGCCGGTGGTGGAGGAGGGGGTGGTGGAAATAGTTCTGTCGGCGGTGGAGGTGGTTCTGTCGGAGGTGGAGGTGGTTCTGTCGGCGGTGGCGGTGGTTCTGTCGGCGGTGGAGGTGGTTCTGTCGGGGGTGGAGGTGGTTCTGTCGGAGGTGGAGGTGGTTCTGTCGGCGGTGGAGGTGGTTCTGTCGGCGGTGGAGGTGGTTCTGTCGGAGGTGGAGGCGGTTCTGTCGGAGGTGGGGGTGGTTCTGTCGGCGGTGGAGGTGGTTCTGTCGGAGGTGGAGGTGGTTCTGTCGGCGGTGGAGGTGGTTCTGTCGGAGGTGGAGGTGGTTCTCTCGGCGGTGGAGGTGGTTCTTTAGGAGGTGGTTCTTTAGGAGGTGGTTCTTTAGGAGGTGGTTCTTTAGGAGGTGGTTCTCTCTGGTTCAGTGATTTGGGCAACGACTTCAACTTCCAGTACGACAATTACTACGACTTTGGTACCGTGACCGGTGAGAGCGACTGGGACGGGTTCCTGGCTAATTCCAAGTCGGAGGACTTCAGTGACATCATCAATGTGGCCAATCCTACCAGAGACGAGCTGGATGTCCTGGGACATCAGGCCGAAGACTTCATCCTCCAGTGTACCTTCGACAGACGTAAATGCAACTACACGTAAGTACAAGTACCGTCCTTGGAATCGCATCCACCCGACTCCATTATCTTGTAAGCAGAAGGTCGTTCGCCCGAGTCCAAACTGAGCATTATGCTCATATTTTTTTTGTAATAACAAGGCAGTTTAATAAAACTATTTACCGAGTTTTGATCGAATACAACCATTTTTGCCAACTCAAACTTTGACGAAAGGATGAATTTGCGACGAGTACAATTTTAACGCGATATGTAGGCCTATATACGCGCACATTTGGGGCGCGCAGGTTGTATCTTTCAAACACAACTATTCGTTTCCCCTTTATTCGACATTCGACTTTTGTATCAGCTTTTTCGAATCCATACCCAAGCCTGTCTCCATTTTTAATGCATATACATTATGAAACTGTATGACGCTACCGCCAAAAAGGTTGAAACTCGGTCGGCAGAGCGCCAGCAGCGCAGGCCAAAGCTATACTTCATTTTGGATGTCGAAGGCTCACACCCTGCTCGAGCCACTTTTTTTTCTGTTCAATCAAAAATTGATTGAAGAAACCATTGTTTGTGTCTTTGTCTGCAGTGACTTCCACAAATTTCAGAACTCACAATACGGCAACTGCTACACGTTCAACCATGGACGCGATGAGGCGGTACGAACCACTAGCAAGTCAGGCTCCCAGTATGGTAAGTGTATATCGGCCTACCTAGAGTGACTGACTGATCTGATATAACATTGTTTGATATGGCCGTGACGAGTCTTCCTTCCACTATGGTAAAACGGTTCAGTTGATTCCCAATGCATTGGTCCCTCGTTTATATCTTCCCTGCCCATGGGAGGCGCCCTAAACACGGGAAACGCCCTAAACATGGGAGGCTCCCTTGAAGCTACAGTGACATTCATTGAACACGATTAGTTTTCCTTGAAAACATTCTCCAGTCACAAGTCAACCACTGGTTCGGTCACAAGTAAAGACGAACAACTTGATGCTCTTGTTACAAATCGTTAATTAAACAGCTTATTTGCCTTCGATAGTAAATGATTGGTCGATTTAATATTGTTAAAGACTAATTTTGTGAGGACATGTATAAGGACTTGACAACATCTCCGGTCATTTCTTAATACTTCTAGGTCTTCACCTGACATTGTTCATCGAGCAGCCCGAGTACGTTGGCTTGTTCACTCCCGAGTCTGGTGTCCGCATTGGCATCGATCACTGGGAGACAACACCACATCCGGAGGATAGTGGCATCACTGCGTCTACAGGACAGGCCACGTCTATTGCTATGAGAAAGGTACCAAGTCAAAGACTTAGTTGATGTACTACCGGCACTTTACATATCTATATTCTCTTAACCTTTTTTTTTCTGGCATGGAAGCTTGTTTGTCCATCCCTTGTCTTCGGTCTAAGACTTTACATTTGCTACCTTTCTTTACATCAGGTTTTTAATTATACTTTGGCAATCATACCAAAGATTCTGTTCCAAGCCCACAAGCCCAAACGTTTGGGCACAAGTAAGGGGAGAACGACGACAAAGGGAATACCTTCGTCACTTGGCCTGAACTGGTTGACGTGTGACTGACTTGTGATGAGCTCTGGGGACTTACTCTTGTTTTCCGATATTATCCATCACCAGAGTTTTATCAAACGCCTTGGTGGACGGTACAGCGAATGCACCACCGGAGAAGACACCGAGTTCGAATCAGACTTCTTTCAGTACTCCCCCTTGACCTGCAAGAAGCAGTGTGTACAGAACAACATGAAAGACCGCTGTGACTGCGTCTCCGACATTCTCCTGGACGGAGTTCAGTGCAGTTACCTCAACAGCACTCAGCGTAAGTATGGCTTTCTTTAGAAGAAGAAAAAATATCTCTCGACGGAATGAAATTAGACCATATAATCTGACAAACTTTGTTTTTAATTTTGCCGACAGAGCGGTGCAGACAGCTTGTAGAGGCTCTCTATGAAGACGACAAGCTGGACTGTTACTGCCCGGTGGCATGCGAGTGAGTATACATCACATATGCATCGTTATTTATTTTATTAGATGGAACCTCGGCCTCCTGCTTATTTGCCATGACCTGTGAGAACACGACAGTCTCTTTTTCATGGGTTCGATTCCCACCCGAGTTTAAGCTCAAAATCCAATTTCTACCGTACAATTTGTCAGAGCCAGATGGCCAGAGGAACAGAAGTACATGAGGTTTATTTGAAATCTCTTTTCCGTGCCTCTCGAAAAAAAAGAAGTAAGTTGACATGATAGTCCACATGCCTCGCTTGTCTGTTGTTGATTTTTTTTTTGGGGGGGGGGGGGGCGGGGGAGGGGTTCGCGACTCCTGGCTTAGTGTAGCACAGAAACGTCAGATTACTTTTTGTGCTTGCCTAACAGTTCGCTGCAATAATCTCCAACGAGTTTGTCTGTGTAATAATGGCTTCTTTGTTTTCTTTAACAGGGAAAATGGCTTTCAGACAAGTACATCCGTATCCACCTGGCCCTCTGAGAGATATGAGGTGAGTCTCACCTGGGATTCAAGGAACTCTTGTTAGACTTAGTCCGGAACTAAAATTGGAGTGATGTACAGAGCCGCAAGTCAAGAAATATGCGTATTTTTAATTCGACATCGACAAAGTCAAAGGTCACTCATCAATGTTTCTGCCACAAGAATTAAAGAGACCAGAAATTGAGTTTCAGGTTAAGAATTTCAGGTTAAGAATTGAGAATCTGTTAATATTTTTTTTTCCACAGGAACATCTTTATTCACGCGTGGCTCCGAAGAATGCTGTTGCTGCCAGGATGCTACAAGATGTAGAAACAACGAGGTAAGCTGGGGCTAAAAAAAGAAAACCCAAATGGCATGACCATTTTTCAATGAAGTTCTGCATGTAGCACTTTCAAAATCTAGGATAATTATGTGTTCACGCTCACAAAAAGGGTTAGTGTTCTTTCAGCAAACTGAAAGAACACTTAACCATTTTTGTGATCGTGGACAGAATTTTAAAACGATGTTTGTGTTTAAAATTCCGTAACTGTAAAGTACATGAGTAATCTGTATGATTCTTGTACTAAAAGAAAGCTTATTAATTGGGCTTCCATATCCAAGATTTTGAAAGTGCTACACGCAGAACTTTATTTGAAAAATGGTCCTGACATTTGGGTTTTCATATTTTTGACTCCCCCTGTACAGTACTTGTTACATATTGGTAAGAATAGGCTCCTAATAGAAGCAAATCTACATATGAAGTTATTTGGTACAAATCACTCAATCTACAGGAAAAATCTGGCACGTCTGCGTATCTACTTTGAGGAGCTGAATTTTCAGAGAGTGGAGCAATCTCCTAACTGGTCGGTAAGTTCACAACTGCTAGGAACTTTTTTATGATAATAATGATTATCACAATATAGTATAACTAGGATTGCAAAATAACTCTGATGGGTCCTTTCGAGACTGATAATATTTCCTTTGGCATTCTATGGAATTTTGCCTGGATACTTTTCTAGAATTATGGGGATTTGTAGGGACTCTAGGGAATTCTGAGGGTATTTGAATTACATGCTCATATTATTCTTCAAGGATTTCTTCCTTAATTCCTTTAGTTTTCTGACAGGATTCGTATAAGATTCTGATGGGACTTCACTTGAATTCCTATTGGCATCTAATGGGTTTATGATGGGATTCCTTGGGATTCAGTTTGGATTAGTCATGTTTCCAGGAAGAATGCCTGTCTCCTGAACAGTATGTTTTCCTTTTTCCTTACAGATTGATAGTATTCTTGGTGCCGTGGGAGGTCTGATGGGTTTGTACGTTGGTATCTCCTCCATCACCTTGGCGGAGATCATTGTTTTCATTTTGTCCCTCTTCAAGCAATGCTGTCGAACAATGCTGTGCATAAATAAAGTGCAGCCTTCACGCTAAGGCCATAAGAAGACAGAGATGAATATAGAGCACCGAAGTGTGCCACATTTCTGGTTCACGCGCATATAGTGTGCGAAGACATAAGATCGCGTACCAGCGTGTGAACCGTCAACTGATGGCAGACTTGGTACTCTATACATACATTGTACTAGGTTTTGGAACAGTATACTTGTCGACTTCTGTATACATTTTGAGAAATCCATCACACAGAGTATAGTCGAGTCAATCACAAGTCAATCACACGTCAGTCACACATCCATCACACATCCATCACAAGCCGATCACAAGTCAATCACAAGTCGATCACAAGTCGATCACAAGTCGATCACAAGTCAATCACAAGTCGATCACAAGTCAATCACAAGTCAAACACAAGTCAATCACATGTCCATAACAGGTCGATCACAAGTCAATCACAAGCCAATCACGACTCAATCACTAGTCAATCACAAGTCGATCACAAGTCAAACACAAGTCAATCACACGTCTATAACAAGTCAATCACAAGCCAATCACGACTCAATCACTAGTCGATCACAAGCCAATCATAAGTCAATCACAAGTTAAACACAAGTCAATCATACGTCCATGATCACAAGTCAATCAATGGTCAACAATAGTTCTTGCGCGAACTTGCCCCAATGTGCACATGCACAAAATGACGCAATATAAAAGGACCTGTGTGTTTGCTGCCAGAAAGCATCTCAAAAGTCTCCATTTGTTTTGATTTGTGATGACTTGATTGGACCACGTCACAAATTCTGTTTAATATACAAGGAAACAGGTGTTTCAAGGATTAATTACGATATTGTAATTTATTACTTCAAAAACAGCATTGCACAGAAACAAAATCAACATAACCTTCATGTATATTACTGTATAGAAATCTGACAGTGGCACAATGGAGTGGCTTTTTTTGGTTACAAAATTTGTTTTTGGATTGTGAGTGGTGGAATTTAACTTAAATATAAACTGACAAGATTTCGATCACTGTTGATCAAATTACTTAAACCTGAAAATCACATCTGCAAAGCTTAAATTTCTGCTGCAAAAAAAAACATGTGTTTGCATACTTAAACTATGTGTACATTTTTTGTTTGTGGGGAACATACATGGGCAGAACAAAAGGTCATCGTTTGCAATAGAATGTTGTTATTTGCTGTACATAATAAATACTTAACATTGAAACATTTCCAAATGTTCTTGAAAATGAATTTTGTTTACTTCAGCACAATTACAAATAATCAAATGTTTATTTTAAATGTTTGAAGCTCAATTTGTGAAAAATGAGAATTTGATAAGATTATTTTTTCCCCCACAATTTTGATGTATAAAAATGAGTGCCTTGAAGTTTGAAAGTCTTGCAAAGCGTGACGGTGTGTAGTTTGAATAAAGTAAGCACTGTGAACAGTTTTACAAAGTGTCAAAGGCATCTGATGTCATATACACCTGTTTTTTATTTTAAAAAGCAATCAGGCCTTATCATCCGACATGACATTCAAAACCTTTCTTTTTCATTGTCTGAGAAGTTACTAAATTATTTGTAAAGTTGGTTATGGGAACTCGATCTCATAATCTGGAATCGGTTCCTGACATCAGCGGTCGGGCACAGCCCAAGTGCACCAACAGATAGACTCTGTGCCTAGGTACTCCCACAACTGTGAAAATCACAGTTGAAAACTGACGCGCGGCCACAATCAATCCTTCACTGGCTCTCATGAGTAGTGCAACTCCAACACGGAGTCCATTAGATCAGCAGGGCAGTTCTACCTAGTCATGATGCTCATGGACCAAGACTCCGACCTGGTCGTACAGTTCTCCCGTCCGCCAGACCTGACGGGCGTAAACGACAAACGTCCGCACCCGATCCTTGATGGCACTGCCCAGTCGCTGCTCTAGGAACCAGACCGCTACGCTGATGAGCAACAGCCAGGACAGCCAGAGGGCGTAGTCCGTTTCCTCCGTCGCGACACTGGGGAGCGGCCCTAGCGTGTCTACTTCAGAAACTTGTATGGAGGTGTTGGGTTCCAGACCTAGTGTGTTCCAAAAAAAAATGATTTTGCAGAGAAAACTTGATATCAATTGAAGCTTCTTATAAACAAAACTATGAAAATTGTTAAATATGTTGATGAGCACCAAAAAATACTTTGCCTTGTAAATAAAGCTCAGATATTTCAGGTGTTTCAGAATCTTATTTTCAGCAAGGGTATCTTATCAAAACAAATGCTTCCACTCCTAGTGATTACTTTCCAAACAGACGAAAGAGATTCAGTTCTAAATTTAGTTGTGGGTTATGATGATGTTTACTTGAAATGTACTTATCCGCCACTATTTGACCACAGTGCATATTATGAGATATGTACACAGAAGATAATTCAATTAATCACATTGGTTAAGTAACCACGAGTTATTTTTGGAGCACAATCTGTATCAGATAAAGGGATTATTTCTAAATTTAGTAGGGATTTCAAATCGACCACTTAAAGGGGAATAATCCTCAGGCCAAGAAAAAAAAATTAAAAAGAGAGTAAGTATTTATCATTTTGATATGTAGGTTCAAGTGGATAAACAAAACACTGTGGACAAACTTCGATGTGTTTTGGACAGGATTAGGTGTAAAGTTGGGGTGGGACATTTTTTGCACATCCAGTTTGGAGTTTGTTTTTGTGTGTGTCAAGTACATGCACACAGAAACAAATTGAGAACAACTTTGGAAACATGCTATTTTTCAATTTATGTGGGTGCTCTATTTTCAAATTCTGGAAAAATGCTGGGTAAGGAAGCCTGAAGCAAGTTGATAACATTATCCGTTACGCTTCTCACCATGACCCATGACTTTTTTTTAGGGATTAAGATTAAATCTCCCCAATTAGAAGGGCAGTGAAGCATTATCAGTCATAATACCAGGATTAGAATATTGAGATTTATTAGGGTGATGTGGCATGCAGATAACTGACTACCACCGATTTAGGGGTGCTACAACTGAGCCTGCCAAAAGCTTTGAAATGGCCAAACTGCACAAAATGTCTGGTACAAGTCAACAAAAGGAAATTTTGTTTCAATTACAGAATTATACATGTACATTATCCTTAAGTCTCTGCTCCTTAAGTCTCTGCTCCAAATCCTTCAGGCAATTTTGTAAGATTTCGCAGAATTTTAGGAAATAGAGCCAACAAACCACTTCAAATCAGAAATGCTGTAAATAAAACTGGTAGTGGGCTTTTCAAATATGTGGTGAAGTAGAGGTAGTTTTAATTTTTTTTTAAATAGAAATAACTTTAGGACAGGGTTAAAAGACTGCCACAAACCTACCTGTAAAATTCTGGATGAACTGGCTGAAAACCTCGAAGGTTCTCTGCGAGTAGTTAAACCTCATGACTGGCTTGTTGTTATGGAAGAGCAACACATTTGGCACGGCAACAATGCCGTAACGGGTGTTCAAACTGTACAAGGGGTAAACATTTAATATATATATTAAGCTTAAACTTGACCATTCTATACAAAAGTGACTACAGTATACAAGAAATGATAATATTGCATCTTTTCTAAATGACACAAAATCAGGCCAACTTTACGCAGTCTTTGGCCCACACAATTCTCCAATATTTTCATGAGGCAGAGGCAAAGTCCTTAGATATTTCACCAGCCAAGTCTGAGGTCTCAATTCAATTTTAAAGGAGGCTTTTCTTTAACATTTTGCACCTGAGAGTGAAGCCAAGTGATTTTCAATTTGAAGCCTAAGAACTAGACTGGTACATTTCCAACTTTTGAGAAGATTGACCCTTCAGTAGTCTGGTGGCATGACTATGAAATGTGTGGATATAGACGGGGCACCGGATGTGTTTTTTTTGACACAGTTGATTGATACAGTACTAAAAGGGTGTTGGACTGCTTGTATCATGTGCCAGTCTATGTTTTTACTATGTTAAGTTTTGGGACTCTCACAGTATTGACATTCCCAAATTTTCGGACTAGTATTCACCTGTTATACTGAAAAGCATCGACGGCCAGCACCTCCAGATCTGGAAAGGCTCTCCCAATGGCATTGAAAGCTGGCGCCGCTTTGGCAGAAAACTTGCACCAGGGGGCGTAAAACATCACAAATGCGCAATAACCTCCAAGGGCGCTGGAGGAGTTCTCCTGGCCCGGCGCACTGTATACAGCACTCACCAACTCCATCAGTTCAGTGTTGTTGACAATTTTGACCTGTGCTGTTCTGTTTCCAGCCGGTCTTTGCATGCAGGGGTATTTTACTTTTCGACGCTGGGCCTCGTCGTTCTCAGTCGCGTTTGCATAGGTAAAATCGGGATGGGTGTACTGGATGCGGGTGTCAAGTGTCTTGTTCAGACTTTTCATGAACTGTTGGAATACCTCAGGTGTCATGTAGGATGCCAAGATTTGGATGTAATCAACAGGAACGGATGAGTCCTGAGCGGATAAAGTTGGAGCCTCCTGTTTTGTGACATCTGCCTCTTGCGTTTGCAGATTTATTTCAGCTTTCTTCTCTCCATGATGTGCTTCTATTTGTTCTAGTGTCTGTTTCAAAATTCTGTCATACAACTTCTCGTTTTCTAGTTCGTCTGATGTCTCAAAATGTGGGAGAACACTGTCAACTCTTTCTGTTCCTTGGACGGGATTCTCTGAAGGTAAAACCTCAATGCCCCCATCTACTGAAATTTCTCCACTTTTATCATGTTCTTCAGAGCTTACTAGGCCTATTTCTGTATTGATAAATTCAAAATAATCATGATAAATAATTGAATGTCGCACACAAAAAAGCAATCTGAAGAATATGTGTAAAGCATATTGTAAGTTAAACATAGGCCCCTATAAGAATGCTCAAAGGTACCATCATGATAGTACAGGCATCAAACTAAAGTAGAAAATCATAAATTAATAATAATATTGTTACAAATACAATGGATCATGGATGGTTACGTGTCAAATAAATGAAATACAACGATTAAACAAACATAAAACTTAAAAGAATGGGGATGGGTGGTCAGTGTGCACAAGTGGTACATACAGGACTAGTCTCAGATAAATAAAGAGACTATGCAAATATATTTGAGGGTTATTTGTGGACCATCTTTTAAAATAGTCAGTCAGAGTGCAGTTTGAACATATCTGTCTAGTACTAGTAGTATACAGTAGTACTTGTCCGGAAACTGGACAGGCAATTAGGCCTAAACCTAGCCCCATAAATGTGGCCTATTTACTGGACTGCCTCCGTAAACATAGGCCACACATCCACATGTACAAAAACGTGTCGATTTTGCCAAATTTTGATTTTCACATTTAGGCTTACTTTGAAGTTTTTTTTTGCTTAAGAAGCATTCTCACCCCCTATATAGGCTAAATCAGATAGTGCTGCCTTTTTCAGATGTCCATTTTTCGTGAAATTTCCAGATACATTTGCACACGTTTGCGTATCAAAATTTCAACATGAAATTTCACAAAAATTAGACATCTGAAAAAGGCAGCACTTTCTGATTAGCCTATATAGAGGGTGAGAATGCTTCTAAAGCAAAAAAAACCTACAAAGTAAGCCTAAATGTGAAAATCAAAATTTGGCAAAGTCGACACGTTTTTGTACATGTGGATGTGTGGCCTATGTTTACGGAGGCAGTCCAGTAAATAGGCCACATTTATGGGGCTAGCCTAGCTGGAGTTACCCAGCCCTGAGTTTTATCATTGGGTTGTACGCGGTGCATTTCAAACTATTGGATATTATTTATTCATTCATATAATTTCATGATTTGTACATGACTTTCACTTACCAATGATCAGACAGATATATGACAAATTCATCAAAAAGACAACTGAGAAACGACAGCGCAGCCTCTTCATGTAAGTCGCCATCTTGGTTTTCATGAACTTTGACACACAGGAGCCAGTTCAAGGTTCAATGAACTTTTTCATTGTCAAAATTCGGACCATGAACTGAAAGACCAAAATGTTATCGATCTGAAGAATCACGTTTTAGTTTCAGTCAGTATTTAAATTAACCTAATATTTTCCTTACGAACATGACGAAAATTTCAATAACATTATGATCTAATAAAGCAATGAACGAATGGAGCATGTAGCAGAAATTCGGTGGAAGGAATAAATTTGACAAGCAGACATATGCCGCACCTATCTCACGCGTTGAACCACCTGATTCACAGCCAGCCAATCACTCTCAACGACCTAGGCGATTAGGCTATCACAACAATTGGGCTTACGCCCTCTGGAATGCTACCGCTTATACAGCGTTTGGTTTAATACATACAATGTCAGTACAAAGAAAAAACATTTTTAGCATTGGGTATATGCTTTCTGAGTCAATAATGTATTTAAGAGTTATAATCAGTCATGTATGCACTCAGTTATTCCATGGTGCTAGTGTGAATTCCTAGCTCCATGGTTATTCGCGGAGATAAAAAAATCCAAAGGGAGTAGGAACCATTTATGTAATTTCTAAATGATAACTGTAATATGCTAATGAGGTCACCGCGTGACACGCACATGTCCTCATACTGAATCGACAAGGACATGAAGGATGAAGCACACAATCTCACACTGGACAAAGTCTAGTACTGCACAAGCGGATAATCGTTGTTAAGTGCGCAAGGTTAAAAAAAGAACATCCACTTTTGTGGACATTAAGCCAGCTGCCGGGAGACCAATCTTCAAAATCGGCAACACGTTGTTTGCAGCTGATCATCGGATGCAAGCTAGGGTACGCACTTAATTAAGCTTCGGCTGTGAATCGTTGCAAAAATTAACCATGGCTCACAGTGCTCTTCACTACACCGACAATTTCCCCTACGAGAACTATGAAGTGCTGGCAAGCTCAAACCGGTCCGTTTGGGACCCGGAGGGCTCGTATGAGTTCGAGAAGTTCGAGATGCGGGAAGTGGATGCCTCCCTGATGTGGTTCCAGAACAACTGGACCAAGTCCATCGTGTACAGCGCCTTGTACGCGGTCTTGATCTACTTCGGCCGAATTTACATGGAGAGCCGGCCCCGCTTCAATCTGCGTCTATGCCTGGTGATATGGTCTTTCTCCCTGGCCGTGTTTAGCTGGATCGGGGCCATACGGGTCTGGGTCTACACCATAGATTTCGTCAGGACATATGGCTGGAAGGCTTCAGTCTGCGATCCTACCCTCTACAAAGGGGTAGTTGGCTTCTGGTCCTGGCTCTTCGTCCTGAGCAAGCTCCCGGAGTTGGGCGACACTGTCTTCATCGTCCTTCGGAAGCAGAAGTTGATCTTTCTTCACTGGTATCATCACATCACAGTGCTCATCTACTCCTGGTATACCTATCCGCAACTGGTGGCCCCGTCACGCTACTTCGTCTTGATGAACTTCTCCGTGCATTCCTTGATGTACACCTACTATGCCCTGAAGGCATCCAAATGGGTCAGCATCCCTAGTTGGGTCAACATCGTCATCACATCACTGCAGATAGCGCAGATGTTCGTCGGATGCTTCGTCAACGGTTACGCCTACTCCATCCGGAATAATGGTGGTTTCTGCGCTACGACCGATGCTAATCTACGAGCATCATTCCTGATGTATCTGAGTTACTTTGCGCTCTTTGTACATTTCTTTGTTGAGACTTACGTCTCAAGCAAGAGGAGGCAACGTGACCCTCTGGCGGAGAAAACCCAAGCTCAAAAATCTCTGCAAGACTCAAATGAAAATATGAAAACAGAAAAGAAAATCAATTAAACTGATCATTTTAAACCGTCCATTGACCTACTTTCATTTTAAGAAGAGGATAAGCTGTGAATATTGAATGTTCAAATTTGTTTATGATCAGTATTTGTAGAATGTTCAGTAATAATTGTTAACATGTATTTTATATGTTACATATAGATCCTGTGCATAAAGGCAGCCATCTTTGGGGTTGTTTTTCAGTAACAAACAAGGAATGGACAAATTTATCATGCACATAATAAAGAGTAACACCAAAGATGGCTGGCATTCAAAGGGTAGATAGGATGTGACCAATTCTGCTCATCAGTTCTGCAATTATTGGACCAGGTCGTACATAAACAAAATCATTGGTACTCCAGGAACTAAAGTTGAATTAATGAATCTCTAAATTTGTTTAACAATTTTAGTATCAGGTTCACATGACAGAAATTTCCGTGCATATGCCAAAAGGGGCATTCGCCCTCAATTTTATAAAATTATGTCAATGTTAAATTCTTAGATTAGGTGACATGCACTTTAATCCATTGTCTACCTGTAGTATTAGTGTTTGCACATTCTAAAAGTCCTCATGTTTCTCAGAACTTAATATAAAAAAAATCTAGCTTATTTTTGTTTCAAAACATATGACTTAAAATCAAATCAGCAGCTTAAAAAAAAATGCAGCTCCAAAAACATTTTGGTAAATTGAATGTTTGTAAAATACTGTTATTGTGATGGGTAAAAGACTGTGCTTTAATAAAAAGAAACACTCGAGCATTCATTGCGTTCAAAATTATTAATTTTTTTTGGATGCATTCAACACATCAGCCATACAGAACTTCTTTATCAGTTGAGTCATGAAAATGAAACTAAGTGATTTATGTTTCCTTGTTTTGAATTTGTGTGACAATGTTATACTTAGAAGTTTTGTATATTTATAATTTGATGATAATTATTGCAATCTGATAACCCAGGTTTTTCACTTCAGGGTATTCATTTTTTTTCCACATGTGCAGCTCAAATATAGTTGTAATGTAATGACTTTGAGAATTAAATGACAGATATATTTTCATGTTATAATTGGTATTAGACATTATAGGAAGTAAGGTCAGTGATCTGTGGCATGAAAAAAAAAGAGACGGAAATTTCCCCATCCAACCAAACATTGGTCTGGTTTCACAATCAGTCTAGTACAGTTGTACTGGATTTCAAGTCAGACTATAGGGAACCAGCCTGAGGCAAGATGGCCGCTTCAAAGCGGAAGCTTAACCTTTTGCACCACTTCCTCTAACACAATGTGGCTTTGATTTCTCAGTTTAAGCTCAAGTTCACTTTTGTGAACCCTGGAACACTTGAGCCTCCAGCTTTAAATTGTTAACAGCTGAAGCCAGCTAACCATGGTTGTCATGGTTGTAAGTTCAGCTGTTCTCAGTACAGTCGACTCTCCTTAGTACAAACTCTGTTAATACAAAATTCTGGTTATTACAAACATAAAGCCTTGGTCCCAACTGTGCATTTATATGCACAATGAACGGGACTGATGTTCCTCTTAATACAAAATTCTGATATAACAAACAATTTGGCTAGGTCCGAAAGAGTTTGTTATAACGAGACTCGACTGTATATAGTATGCAGTACTATGCTCAAACAATACCCCACATCTAGCTTAATGTCTAAGCAGATTTTGTTCTATGTATAATCATGTAGCTATTACATGTAGATAAATGTCAAAACATGTTTCCACACTTGTATTGATTGTTGATATTATAAACTGATTTATTTATTATAGTAAAAAGTACATAATGTATTACACCTGATTACTGTTGCAGCATGTGAGCTGACTGATGAACACAACTAAGATTGTATCAACAACAAAATATGATATTTTTTGTTTCAGTATTTGTGTTTATTATTCATACTGACTTACAAAAAAATGATCAGTCGTTGATATCGATTGACAGTAAATTCTGATTCTGATTTTGATTATGATTAAATAGCCTACAGCATTTGAGCATATAATTACATGGTACTGTTGCAGTGGCTTGATAGATACACATTGCCTTGATGACAGGCTATATCATATTACTAGTTCAGGATTCAGAACGTGCAGAATATTTATGAAGTATTAAAATATTCTAAATTATGGCTCTGGCTTGCTATCCTAATTATCATGTGTGGCTGCATCGTGCGAATCGAGGGCTAAAAACATTTGCATTCTGCTGGCTAAAAAAAAATCTTTGCATAAACAAAATGAAATCAGGTCTATAAAAACATTGGCAACAAAGCAAAGAATCCTAGATATTTATTGACTTAATGTCAAGTGATATTAGTGTATTAGGTGATATGGCTCGGTCTGGCCCTATAATTAGGCTGGAAATTATGTTTCTGCTGTGTGATGTGATAGTAATATTGTATGCTCTATCAAATTGTGTAAATTTGGTTGTAAAAGCTAAATTTACATAAGAACTGTTTCTCTTTACAAAAAGAATAATATTTGAAGTTGCTTGTTTTTACACGAATGTCAGCTTTCTTCTCATGGGTATATGTTTTAGTGTACCTAGGATAGGAAATATTCTTTAAAATATTTTTAACTTATGTTGTCATAAAGTGATTCACTGACATGATGCACTGAAAACTATTTTTGTGCATTCTAAAATTGCCAAAAATATGAAATTATTGATAATGTATTATACACGTTGGAAAACCACAGTTTTAAGTTGCTTTCCGTTTTGCAAAAATAGTCATTGTTTTTCTTAGTCATGACCAGTTATCTGTTGTTCAAACCCAAAAGGAAATGAAAGTGTGTTTAATGTAAGTTGTAAATCATGAAAATAATTCATATTGATTTGTTGAGAAGGTCCCTGCCAGGGACTGAAACTAAAAGTAATCAATGAACATGACATTTTGAATTATTCATGATCCAACGAGGCCTGCAACTTGCTTACACACAAAAATAAGACATGATGTTGGACCATACATATTTGTTATAATGTAATGCCTATTTAGACAAATCCAAAATTGCCAATTTGTCCACTAATTTTAGTTGAATATCTAATTATGAATATAATTTTGTACAAGTGGATTTATAATAATTATTATTACATGTACATTTTACTATATGAGCAGTACTGGCCTTGTATCAGGTGATTTATCTATATATACTAGCGATATGATGTTTGCCTATATGTTAAAATGTAAAGATTAGATCAGGATTAATTTATAAAAGTTTAACGAACCTATGTTGGTGGTTAGCAGCGTTTGCAAGGCCGTATTATGTCAACCTCATAAGTGGATTAAACGTGTTACTGAGCTTTATGTCAAGTGATGAAGTTTATCGTCTTTTCTGTTTAACTTTCGTGTATCTCTTTCAACCTGTTAAATCACAATGTAGGCACGTGACAGTGAAGCCAAAAATGAGTGGCCTTTTTCCAGATTCCGAGTGAGGTTAGTGAATTTGTAGCATTAACTTAAGTTTTCATTGAAGACGGCAGGACATGATGACAAATCGGATAAGGGCAGGGGTAAAATGACCAAGTTGGAAGTGATAATTTCATTTTTGAGTGCCGCTGTCGTATGAAAATCAGACTCTTTTCCCCCTTTATTGGTTAAACCCTCTCACGTGACCGGTCCCTCTCTTAATTATCTATGCATGAGCATGCGCAATACCACCAATGAGTCCGTATTTCATAAAACCTAAATTCATGCTACACCGCCCTTCCCCGACTCCGCCCCTCCACAAAGCAACTTAATTGACTCTGAATACGAACAGCGACAGTAAACCAGTTCAGTTTTTAAATTGTCTCTTTCAAAATGGAAATTTCACTTAAAGCATAAAATTGACGTCTACCTTTCAGATAAAAGCAGCTAGCTGTGCGTTTGGAATGGGGCAAGGTCACTTTTGTGTGAAGAAATCAATCACTCCACACAAAATGATACAATCCGTACGTATCTGATGGAAAACTGTTCATGCGTGTTTGCATTGCACTGTGTCTATAATTTCATCTTGATTGTATCGAAGACAATCGCCCGGCAGGTCATACGAACATACACGTGACCGTGGACGTGTGGTTTCATATAGTTAATCTTTGTCAAAGCGAATGTTTAAGGACAATTTCATTACCGGCACAGAAAAAGACACAAAACCGAATTAAAAAAATTGCAATCCTTGAAAATGCACGTTTTTCGGTCCCATTTAACCCTATTTTTAATTTTCGTTTTTCCATTTTCAAGAGTATTTTTGTGCTTTTTTGTTTTTATGCTAATGCCATTTTCCATATTCATGAGCAAAGGTGTGATGTCATTTCAGGCAGAAACCTCGATGTTACAGGTATTTCAGCCTCAAAAGTTGCCAGAATTTTGGATACACTGTCGTAATTTTTGTTTTATTTGTTGTGTCAGTACATGAAAGGATGCCAATGAGCAAATGTTTCTTCCAAATGTTTTCAATGAGAAAATTTTGGGTTCACGATTTGAACATAAAAAGTTTTGCAAAACGTATGTTCAAAAGAAATATAAACTTCATGGACCCTTGAAGATTGGATTTTTTTCCCCTCTTTCGGCATCACGAGGAAAAAAATATTCAAAATTCGAAGATGCGGCAATTTTGTACCCTCAAAAATACACTAGCGCCATCTAGCGGTCTCTTTTGTTCCATTTACCAAGGGGCGTCATGTTAACTTAATGAGTTGAGAAGTTTTCGCAAAATGCATTGCCTACTTACAATATTTTTATGAATTGATAGTTAATCGATATTTTATCAAGACATCTGATGATGTCTGTCCACAGATGGGCCTTATGCAACTTGTGAACTTTGATTTGTGACGTTGGCATTCAGTTCACTGAATAAAATATGATGCCAATGGAGCGGTTTGACAATAGGTTGTGTGTGTATACCCCCACCCCAGATCGCCATTGTGCAAGTTGATCTAAAGATATAAGATATGTTTCAACTGAGTAAATATGTGGTAGGTGGTCTGCAATCCTCTATATATATGTATGTAAATGCGTGTGACGAACAGAGGTCAAGTTCAACTTGATAAAAACACAATTGAGCAACTTTGAGAGCGATTTCGAAAGTCTGGCTCCCTCAAAAAGTAGCCACAGATAGTGTGCAATGTCAGTTATACGATGTAATGTGAGGGAGGATGGGCAAAACAGATGAAGAATCTTGATGGGTGATAAAACATTTCTTTCTCTTGAAATTCGTCATTCACCATCACAATCATGTAACGTATGTTTAAATTTTGCCAGAAAAACAAACATGCATGGGATGGGGGTACCTTGCCCTTGGCAACACGTTATGGGTTTATCAACTTCTTTTTTAACCTGTGGTTGAAAGTCCATCAGACCATGCAGCCGTGTTTTCTGAACTTTATCTCAGTCAAGTGGGCCAAAATTATCTGAAAACAATCTAGAGTCACTGACGAAAAGGTTATTGGAGTAAAAGTGAGTATTTATTACGTTGCTTGCTGGGATTGACATCTACTGGAATCTTGCCAGACTTTTTCCAAGGGGAGTTGGGGGTGGGGGTGAGGGTTGCAGCCTGAACTTATAAAAAAAAAAAAAATGAAGTGGGAATGTATTTTTTATATTGGCGCTACATTGTACTCATTGGGCTCATAAAATCTTCCTAAAATAAGGGCATCTCAGCTCCGACTCTATTAAGTAGGCTTTATACAGCTCGATCCTGCGATATCAACGGCTGATTTAAACCATCTTTATCCTCGCATTTACTCCTTAACGGAGAGAAGCAATGTGAGAGGAGTGTCTTGCCCAAGGACACAAGAACTGTAACTCTGAAGGCTGGACTCTCGAACCTATCTTAATTGTAACCAATTAGCTCGTAGGATTTTTTTCCTTATTCGGCACGTACACTACACTCAACCAAAAAAGAAAATACCCCTTCCAATACTTTTTTTGTCTAACACAAAAACTACTGAGCACATCTCGCTCAAAATAATAACGACTAATCAGTACAGAAATGTTATAGCAATCCAGCCATACTCTCTATAAGTTCCAAAACAGTGATAAGCGTACGAATGTATGCAATATATGACAAAGTGATACCGAAAAGAAATGCACTTTTGTATACGTTCAGGTTGTGGTTCACACTCACCTAATTGCACGTATACAAAAGTACAACTTTTTTTCGGTACCATTTGTCATAAATTGCATAATTCTGTACACATTTTCACTGTTTTGGGCCAAACAAAGAGAATGGCTGGATTGCTAAGGAATTTCTGAGCTGATCAGTCGTAATTTGAGCAATATGTGCCCAGTAGTTTTTGAGTTAGATAAAAAAGTATTAAGGGCGGACTTTTTTTGGGTTGCTTGTATTTAGAGATCATCAAAAATGTAATGAAAACGCATGGGTCGCTATACTTCAACATTCAGACAACATGAGCCAAAACATCCTTATTGTGAATACTGAACACTTTGCTGACAACATGGAGGAAGGTTCCTTCCTCCATGCTGACAACAAACATTTCCCACAGAGGAACTTGACATCTTTCTCCCAAAGAAAATAATCGTGATTGGAATCATTCTTCACGCTCCATGGGGTGTTACAAACTGATCGAGAGGGGGCGCTGCTCGAAGTTAAAGAGAACACATGGAACTTGAAGGGTGCTCCCATTTGCCCTGCGGGGCGTAAACGTCAACCCATAAAAACGTCTTAAAACGACACAGTTTGCCAACTAAGGCAGCAATTGCACAGAAAAAGAATAAGGAAACAGTGCTGACCAAATCATGCAAAAGTATAGAAAGATTTAATGAAGTTCATGTCAAGTCAGAAATGCACCGAATAGAATCAAGACTACTAGAGCGCCGAACAGGAATCAAGACTACTATACGGTTGTTTGACCTGATCACCGTGAGGTCATGCGTATCCATAGCTACTAGCGCCATGGTTTCATACACGTCACACATGACGCAGTTCTCAGCAAACTATAATAATACATTCTCTTTAATTACGCACGAACCTATAACGGAAGTTCAAAGTCAAAAAATTATCAATTATTAGACTGAGTCATTCAATACATGTATTTCCATGTGCAATGTTAGGGTGTGATCGTGTATTTTATTGTTCATTGAGGAGGTGTGGTCATTAACTGACCAATCAGGAACTAGAGTCACACGTATTACAGCTCAACAGCCAATGGCAGCGCTGTATGCAAATCACTCTGGCTGTTACAGTAATTATTTAGAAGCCCCCGATGAAAGTGCAAGGACCGTGATCCATCCGGCGAATCGATGGTCCAACATCACGTGGTAAAACAATCGTTAAAATCAGTATTAACCTTTATTAATGGTTGGTTTATACTTCCTGCAAAGGCAAAAGCGAAAATAAAAATTCATGACATCAGTTATTGTATTCTGACGCCGTTGGCCCGTAGAATTCACTTCGTTCTTTCGTTCTGTACATGATGAAAAGCCATTCATGGGTGATAAAGATTAAAATATTCAGTTCACACTGGACAAAGGACTTGTTCTGCAAGTCTACTTATTGATAAGTCAGGGAACCAGACAAAGTCGCATGCCTCGTGATCCATGCAAAAACAAGGCCGACGCTGATCGGATCATAAAATGTTTATCACTCAATAATTCTGAGAATGACATCGAGAGACTTGGAGCATGCTTGGAGTGAATGTGAATGGAAAATTCTGGCGCTGTCTTTCATTGATTCATGACGTAAGTTGATTTCATATAAATCGCACGACTAAAGTGTACAATAGAAGCAGTTGGTGCAGTCGATGTCGGTTCTTTCAAAGGAAATTCCTCCATGGTGAGAGCATGCATGTACATGTATCCGATTCTTCCTATGATCCGACCAATTTTTCCGGGTCAGTGCACGCCATATGATAATAAAGGAGTCCAGCAGTGTATGCGGAGGGAGTAACTGCAGGCGACAGAACAGCCCCAGCGGGGAGCCGGCAAGAGATGATGATGATGAGGTAGACAATCGCGCGCCATTCACAAACACACTGCACACCGTATACCTCGTGCTCCGTTTGATTGTTACATAATCGTACGTGTTTGTAATACACATGTTGGACGATTATGATGTGCATATAACACTGTTATGCATGCGCTGAAATGTTTGTATCGTTTTGATGACAGTAGACAGCAACTTGATTGAACTTTGAAGACATATCCAGACTGATTCGGAAACTGTTTAATCTTCACTGTCGTCCTGTGTTTTGAATAGCAATGGAAGGCTTTTCTCAAAATCGCTTGGAGGATGTCGTCATCAACTCCACGCTTCGCTCTTTCCAGCCGGCCATCGTGTTTGAATTTGAGCGAGACTTCAAGGCCGAGGAGGCCATCTTCTGGTTCCGGAACAACCGGCAGTTCTCCGTGTTGGTTAGCGCCGTGTACGTGGTGCTAGTCTTCGCCGGCCGGTGGTTCATGTCGTCCCGTACACCGTATGATCTCCGTATTCCCCTGGCCGTGTGGTCCGCGGGGCTAGCGGTGTTCAGCTGGGCGGGCATGTTACGGCTCAGTGCCGAAACTTACCATGTCTTCCGTACGTACGGCTGGCATGCTTCCGTTTGCGACCCGGGTGTCTACCAGGGAACCACGGGCTACTGGGTCTGGATCTTCACGCTCAGCAAGCTCCCAGAGCTCGGAGATACTGCATTCATCGTCCTCCGTAAGCAAAACCTCATCTTTCTCCACTGGTATCATCACATTACTGTGCTCATGTACTCGTGGTACTCCTACTCACAGATTGTCTCCTTAGCCCGTTACTTCGCCGTCATGAATTACACCGTTCACTCCTTCATGTACTCGTACTACGCCATCAGAGCCTCACGGCTCATGCGCATTCCCAGTTGGATCGGCATGCTGATTACGTCACTACAGATCACCCAGATGCTGGTGGGATGCGTTGTCAATGGTTACGCCTACTCCCAGATGAAGAGCGGAGGTACATGCGCCACCAACGACGAAAACATGCGAATGTCCTTCTTGATGTACTTCAGCTACCTCCTTCTTTTCGTGCATTTCTTCTACGAGAGGTACATGTCCAAGCCCCGTCCGGTGAGGGAAAAACGAGATTGAAGGGGAGCAAAGACGAGATTTTGCGAGAAAAGGGACTGTAAACCTTACGACCCATTTTAATTCTATAACAAGTACACCTTACTTCAATCACAGTGTTGTGGTTTGCTTTCAAGATGTGTTTATGCTGTAGTTATGCCGATTTACAAAGATAATTCGGGATTTTGGTATTATAATTAATATTTTGAAAATATTTGTGATTTATTTTTGAAAACAAGGACGATAAAAGATTAATTGTTTTAATGGAAAGATTTCCATATACGAAGTTCACTAATTTTCCTCTGTATTGACTAACAAGCCCCCAGATAGCAATTTCATGTCATCAAAGTCAATTTGAGCAGTGAGAAAATACAAGCATTTTCTTATATTAGAAAACACTTCGAATTTTTCAGTCCAATCTCATAGGGTTTGTACACAGGGTGTTGAGTGAACTTCGTATATGGACATCTTTCCGTTTTTATTTCTGAAAGTCGAATGACAATTGTGCAGTATACTGCCGAGTCAAGAAATCTGAACCTATATATTTTTTTCTTAAGAAAAGACAATGCACAAAGTACCCTGTGGTAAATTTAGTAATCATTATAAATGCGACAACAAAATGTAGTAAAGGATTTTTTTTTTACTTTTCATAAAAAAATGCCCGATAGTAAACTCGAAAATGCTCAGTTTTTATTAAGCTACAATGTGCAAAAGTATAGAAAGATTTAATGAAGTTCATGTCAAGTCAGAAAAGCACCGAAAGAGAATCAAGACTACTAGAGCGCCGAACCGGAATCAAGACTACTATACATTTGTTTGACCTGATCACCGTGAGGTCATGCGTATCCGCAGCAACTAGCGCCCTGGTTTCTAGCCCGACTGCGTCTGGCCGTACAGTACTATCGCAAGCTCTGTAGTACGGCCAGACGCCCGATGCTTCCATAGAGACTGAATTTTGTTGGCCGCCGATGTAGCGATTTTGCTACATCTTTCGATCGCGATTATCTTTTCATCCAGAACACAAATTTCCAAAGTTAAGGTTCGTAGTCGTAGAGCAACTCATACCTTTTCGAGAAAACGTTGTTTGGTCTCAATATTTTCATCCATCTGGCCACAAGACGAATTTCAGTCATCAGATTCCACAAATATCGTCCCCCATGCGATCCCCCATGCGATTTCAAAATGGCGGCCGCGCTGTAATGTATGCAATATGCAGGCGCGCCCGCACAAATAATGAATATGCATAAACGGTCTGTGACGTATGACCTCATGTTTTTGTACGTACGGCCCCGCCGCACGCACGTCCAAAACACGAGGTCATACGTCACAGACTGTATATGCATATTCATGAAATTGCGCGGGCGCGCCTGCATATTGCATACATTACAGCGCAGCCGCCATTTTGAAATCGCATGGGGGATCGCATGGGGGACGATATTTGTGGAATCTGATGACTGAAATTCGTCTTGTGACCAGATGGATGAAAATATTGAGACCAGGCAACGTTTTTTTCGAAAAGGTATGAGTTGCTCTACGACTACGAACCTTAACTTTGGAAATTTGTGTCCTGGATGAAAAGATAATCGCGATCGAAAGATGTAGCAAAATCGCTACATCGGCGGCCAACAAAATTCAGTCTCTGTGGAAGCATCGGGCGTCTGGCCGTACTACAGAGCTTGCGATAGTACTGTACGGCCAGACGCAGTCGGGCTACATGGTTTCATACACGTCACACATGACGCAGTTCTCAGCAAACTATAATAATACATTCTCTTTAATTACGCACGAACCCATAATGGAAGTTCAAAGTCCAAAAATTATCAATTATTATACTCAGTCATTCAATACATGTATTTCCATGTACAATGTTAGGGTGTGATCGTGTAATTTATTGTTCATTGAGGAGGTGTGGTCATTAACTGACCAATCAGGAACTAGAGTCACACGTATTACAGCTCAACGGCCAATGGCAGCGCTGTACGCAAATCACTCTGGCTGTTACAGTAATTACATGTATTCAGAAGCCCTCTATGAAAGTGCAAGGACTGCCGTGATCCATCCGGCGAATCGATGGTCCAACATCACGTGGTGAAAAATCGGTGTTAACCTTTATTTATGGTTGGTTTATACTTCCTGCAAAGGCAAAAGCGAAAATAAAAATTCATGACATCAGTTATTGTATTCTGACGCCGTTGCCCCGGAGAATTCACTTCGTTCTTTAAACTCGTTATTAAATATATCTGTACATGACAAGATTCATGGGTGATAAAGATTAAAATATTCAGTTCACACTGGACAAAGGACTTGTTATGCAAGTCTACTTATTGATAAGTCAGGGAACCAGACAAAGTCACATGCCTCGTGATCCATGCAAAAACAAGGCCGACGCTGATCTGATCATAAAATGTTTATCACTCAATAATTCTGAGAATGACATCGAGAGACTTTGAGTGCATGTGAATGGAAATTCTGGTGCTGTCTTTCATTGAATCATGACATAAGTTGATTTCATATAAATCGCACGACTAAAGTGTACAATAGAGGCAGTTGGTGCAGTCGATGTCGATCTTTAGGAAATATACATGTACATGTATCCGATTCTTCCTCTATGATCCGACCGATTTTTTCCGGGTCAGTGCACGCCATAATAAAGAAGAGCAGTGTACGCGGAGGGAGTAACTGCAGGCAACAGAACAGCCCCAGCGGGAGAGCCGGCCAGAGATGATGACGATGATGTAGACAGTCGCGCGCGATTCACAAACACACTGCACACCGTACCTCGTGCTCCGTGTGATTGTTACATAATCTTACGTACAGCGTACGTGTTTGTAATACACATGTTGGACGACTATGATGTGCATAACACTGTTATGCATGCGCTGAAATGTTTGTATCGGTTTGATGACTAGTAGTAGTAGATCAGCAACTTAATTGAACTTTGAGGACATATCCAGACTGATTCGGAAACTGTTTAATCTTCACTGTCGTCCTGTGTTTTGAATAACAAATGGAAGGCTTTTCTCAAAATCGCTTGGAGGATGTCGTCATCAACTCCACGCTTCGCTCTTTCGAGCCGGCCATCGTGTTTGAATTTGAGCGAGCCTTCAAGGCCGAGGAGGCCATCTTCTGGTTCCGGAACAACCGGCAGTTATCCGTGTTGGTTAGCGCCGTGTACGTGGTGCTGGTCTTCGCCGGCCGGTGGTTCATGTCGTCCCGTACACCCTACATCTCCGTATTCCCCTGGCCGTGTGGTCCGCGGGGCTAGCGGTGTTCAGCTGGGCGGGCATGTTACGGGTCAGTGCCGAAACTTACCATGTCATCCGTACGTACGGCTGGCATGCTTCCGTTTGCGACCCGGGTGCCTTCCAGGGAACCACGGGCTACTGGCTCTGGATCTTCACGCTCAGCAAGCTTCCAGAGCTCGGAGATACTGCATTCATCGTCCTTCGTAAGCAGAATTTGATCTTTCTCCACTGGTATCATCACATTACTGTCCTCATGTACACGTGGTACTCTTACTCACAGATTGTCTCCTTAGCCCGTTATTTTGTCGTCATGAATTACACCGTTCACTCCTTAATGTACTCGTACTACGCCATCAGAGCCTCACGGCTCATGCGCATTCCCAGTTGGATCGGCATGCTGATTACGTCACTGCAGATCACCCAGATGCTGGTGGGATGCGTTGTCAATGGTTACGCCTACTCCCAGATGAAGAGCGGAGGTACATGCGCCACCAACGACGAAAACATGCGAATGTCCTTCTTGATGTACTTCAGCTACCTCCTTCTTTTCGTGCATTTCTTCTACGAGAGGTACATGTCCAAGCCCCGTCCGGTGAGGGAAAAACGAGATTGAAGGGGAGCAAAGACGACATTTTGCGAGAAAAGGGACTGTAAACCTTACGACCCATTCTATAACAAGTACACCTTGCTTCAATCACAGTGTTGTGGTTTGCTTTCAAGATGTGTTTATGCTGTAGTTATGCCGATTTACAAAGATAATTCGGGATTTTGGTTTTATAATTGATATTTTGAAAATATTTGTGATTTATTTTTGAAAACAAGGACGATAAAAGATTTTTTTTTTTTTGGAAAGATTTCCATATACGAGGTTTACTAGTTTTCCTCTGTATTGACTAACAAGCCCCCAGATAGCAATTTCATGTCATCAAAGTCAATTTGAGCAGTGAGAAAATACAAGCATTTTCTTAGAAAACACTTCGAATTTTTCAGTCTAATCTCATAGGGTTTGTACACAGGGTGTTGAGTGAACTTCGTATATGGATTTTCTGAAAGTCGAATAACAATTGTGCAGTATGCTACTAGCTGAGTCAAGAAATCTGAACCTATGTATTTTTTTCTTTAGAAAAGACAATACACAAAGTACTCTGCGGTAAATTGAGAAATCATTATAAATGCGACGACAAAATGTAGTGAAGGATTTTTTTTTTACTTTTCATAAAAAAAATGCCCGATAGTAAACTCGAAAATGCTCGGGTTTTATTAAGCTATACGACTTATATAAATAGTTGTAGATTTGCGTATTGTAGTCTTCGTGTACTGTCTAGTAGCAATATATTAGCGTTTTTCAAGGTTGGCGTTTGGCATCGCACAGAAAAAATTGAATTGAAGTGAAAACGATTGGTACTGAAATCTATTTTGTTATCCGAAACACAAAGGAGAAAAGTGATTTTGCAAGTTTTGTTTTCGGAATGTCGGTTTAGTTTCGGTTTGTTTTCCCCGCAAATAGTCATTATGTTTCAAGTACATGTATATAGCAGATTAAGCAGAATATAGTTTAGCCTTTTGTGTGGTTCTCGTATGTACGAAGCGCTAGCGAAGCGTAGTTTCTTCAACAACATGCTGTAAATTCAAGTGTGTGTTTTATATAAATGGTAGGATTCGCTTGTTGAGTGTTGACTTACCTTTGGTACTAGTACTTTCAAGTCATTGTTTTGAATAGTTTGGCATACAGGCACTAACATTCCTATACCAGTATCGAATTCTATAAAGGCGTATATGGAGAATGTGCAAAACCAAAGCAGCTTCTAAGGTATTTTTTTTAAGTCTTACGGACATTTCGCAATTACCTGAAAACTTGCAAAGCAAACCGAAAGGGAAACCATATCTTTTGTAACTTTTATTGTCTGTATTCCGTGTTACAGAACAATGTAGTTCTGCAAAATGCCAGGCTAGGCCTTGTATCCCTACGTTTAGGTTGAATCTGGTTTTGTTCAAAATTCGTGGACCGAATCCTCGAATACAGTTGAGCTTGAAAAGTTGCAAACCAGGAATTAAATCACAAGTAGAACCGTTGGCCTATGCGTTGATACGCGTATATACAGGGCATGCATGCTTATGAGTTTTCTCATTTATGATGTCAAACTTGACTCAAAAAGTTCAGCCTGTTAGCTGTTAAAAACCCTGCTCTAGATTTTAATGCTGTATCTGGATTTTGATAAATAAAGCATGGACTGCAATTATTGATTCAATGGTCCTTCATTCAAAAGTGTGTAACACAGCAAATTATTTTTTTCATTAGTCTATTCATAAAGGCAATATTTGAGCAGTGATGGATTTTTTTTTCTGCTGGAAGGTTTGCCTGCAAGATGACTTTTTCAACTTGCAAGATGACTTTTTCAACTTTTACCTTCGCCTTTGGTTGAAACCAAGCAACGCGTTTTGTTTCCAGCACGTGCATTTAATTAACGGCCCATTATTTGTCATTATTCCACAGTGCATGTCAACTTATTCTATTGTGTTGCAAGCGTGCACTTTAGCACTACAGAGTCTCTCTTTACATTTGGTTTATTCACTAAACCAAGGTCCACACCCCTGTTTTTGATACAGGATAATCGAACAATGAGGTAACAGTTTCACAAAAAAAAGATTTTCTTACATTTAATGAGTTATCTTGTAGTTAATTAGTAGCCTGGTGCGTGGTTATAAGATTCGTGACTCATGATCAGAGGGTTAGGGGTTCACGTCTATCTGGGACAGTTGTGTCCATATATAGGCAAGGCATTAAACCCATACAATTGTATCGATATGAATGTCTACGATAGAATAAAACCTTATCAAGATGAGATTTGAAGGTTAGCATTGTGAAAAGGTAATAAGATATATTTATGGTAGCACCATGCGGTAAATCTCTTGTGAGTATGTGTGGTTCTGAAAACCTAAACCAAGGTCCACACCCCTGTTTTGATACAGGATAATCGAACAATGAGGTAACAGTTTCACAAAAAGATTTTCTTACATTTAATGACTTATCTTGTTAATCAGTAGCCTTATTGACGGGAGTGTTGCCTGGTGCGTGGTTATAAGATTCGTGACTCACGATCAGAGGGTGAGGGGTTCACATCTATCTGGGACAGTTGTGTCCATATATCGGCAAGGCATTAAACCCATAAATTGTATCGATATGAATGTCTACGATAGAATAAAACTTTATCAATATGAGATTTGAAGGTTAGCATTGTGAAAAGGTAATAAGATAAATTGCTTGCGGTAGCACCACGTGGTAAATCTCTTTTGTGAATATGTGTGGTTCTGAAAAGAACCGGAGGAAACTCAACGTTTCGGACAGTATGCTCTACCCGTCGTCAGGAGACTCCCGCTCAGCCCGTCGTCACGTGTGTCTCGTGACGACGGGTAGAGCATTCTGTCCAAAACGTTGAGTTCCCTCCGGTTCTTTTCAGAACCTCCACAATGGTTCTACCCGCAAACAGTTTTAAAACCTCAGCTAGTTCAGGGGAAAACTGAGTAGATCATTATCCTGTCATTTCTTCCCTAATTGGGCAACCAAATATAGACAACGGACATGACTTTAAATTGTTTAGAGTATTTTTTTTCCACAAAAAGTTGGCAACAGTGGTTTTCAAAAGCAAAAGCTCGCGTACGGTGTTTATCACGGTGTTCCCAACGTCTGCGTTCATCTCAATTTTCATTTCGGTTTCCATTCAACCTGAAAATAGAACCATTTCCGCTGAATCGAAACCCGCGTGCGGTGAACAAAAAGTTTCCTGAGCCATTTTGCTCTCCCTTTTCAAATCGAGAGCCATAGCATATACACGTGAACTTGTTTCTTTTGTGCATGTGAAAATAAGTGGATAGGCAACATGAAAAGTATGCGGAAGTCTCAATACAAATATTAATACTATAGTATAGTACGTCAGTAATTTACTGTTTTGCCTGGCTTACAACAAAACAAATTTCGTTCATCGTCAATGCTGCTTAAATTGTTTTTACAATCTCTTGCAGATACTAAATGCCTGCTAAGTCCCGTTTATCTGTTTATCACTTGTAACGACAGCTCCGAGAAATTAAAAGGATACCTAATCAGCAATGGCCAATGGCGGCGCTGTTGCAGGTTATAATAAGCACACTTTCATCGAACATGACAAAGTGTACAAGCATTACATTAACTGTGTGGACTTCCGAACAAAAGATGTCCACATAAACTAGGTAGCAGCGACGTTGTGTGGACTTGCCCACGTCCACACAATGTTTTCCTCCTCTCTGGAAAAAAAAAAGATTAAGAGGCATTTTAAGGTAATGGGTTTATCCGTGGCAAAATGAAGAGAAACACTAAAGGGAATCATACAAAAAATTGGGTGAAAGACTTTTCACAGTGTGAGTAAAATAAGGTTTTTTCACTGGTTTTTCTTAACTGCACGAAAACAAAGGAATGTCCACACTAGGACTGTGACGCAAACAAACGTGTAGTCGGATGCATCTGGAGTAGCGCCCCCTCTCCTTAACAAACGCTAGCTCAGTGTCTAATGTGGGTATTGTAAATTTTATGCGACGCCGCGCACTATCCGTTCGGAGGCGACTATCCATTCGGAGGCGACTTCAGAAATTTTGACGTTATTACGATAAGAAATGTGGACCAAGTTGTTGATTGGTCAATTTGGCTGTCATGTTTTATAATACAACAATGGGTTACAAGTTCAAGACGCAGGTCTTGTTTTGCATAATCGCCGAATCTGTTCGCATTTCATTCATAATCATATTCCATAGACTTGACATAGTGGCCCGATATGTCTTTTTTCGCCGTACGCTAAATATTTGTCAATAAAATGAAGTGCTGACGCTTTCAATTTGGGGTACAAAAGGGCAAATTTCCCTTTGGGGAAGGCCCCCCCCCCCCCCCCCCCCCATCCGCTGTATACGCCCCCAGAATTTAGCAAATAAAAACGACCTGGGGATGAGTCACAACCTTCCTCCATGGTCACAACATGTTCACTGCACTGTCAGATGATCGTGATATGAGTCATAAAATAGTATGCATGACATTTTCTTCCCACTTATTTCATGTACAGCTTTACTTGACTTTTATCAACGCTTTCTTTGTATTTCGGATTTTCGGAATCATGGACATTTCGAAACAAGGTCCAACCCTTTGAATAAGCTTAAATGTTGCCCTTTAGACACGATTTTTGATAAGGCTTGCGGAACAAAACCCTGGAAGATTCATTGTCTTGCAAACCCGATGCAAAGTTGCGAAGAATTAGAGACAATTTCAGACAGACACCGATTGATAATGTTCGAATTGTTATCTTGGATGTTGTTTGTTCTGTCATGGAGGAATAATGGTTCTCTCTGTGTGGCCGTCAATGGTAAAGATTAGAGAAATACTGGGTGCGGAGTTACTGTGCGCAGGGGCTTATTTTATAGCCTGCTGTGCTCTCCCTCTGCCCGTTGCCGGTATGCCGACTCGGTGTCATCCGACATCGCGTGATGTTAAGTGTCCTCGGATTGTAATTGCATGAGTTCATCCCAGCAGCGACACGCAGGAAACGCATGCAGGAATATGCCGCTTAACCACACAGGCCGTGCAATGCATTAGTAAATTGCACGTCGCATGGGCCAGTGTTAATTCAGAAGTATGAATGTCGTAAACTCGTGTGCACTGAAGTTGTACCTTTATTGCAGCAGATATTTGGAGCGCTTTTGAGTGAAACTTTGCAGATTGAAGATGGCCGAGACACGCGGATTCCCGCCTGTGACTTTGCCGCTGCAGGTGCAGCTGAACACGACTAAAGTCCCAGTGGTCTACGCGTACGAGTTGGCGTTTGAACGAAGCTTTGACCACGAATGGGGTGTGGGGTTATTCCAGCAGTACTGGACCATCGGGTTTCCACTGAGTGCCATCTACGGAGTGCTGATCTTAGCGGGACAATGGTACATGAGGGACCGGCCGCCGTTCGATCTTCGCCGGGCACTCACGGCTTGGTCCCTGGGACTAGCCATCTTCAGTTGGATGGGTCTCCTTCGATCATGGGAGGAGTCCTTCTACATGGCTACCACGTACGGACTCAACTCGGTAGCGTGTGATGCGGTGGGGTATATCGGGCTAGCGGTTTGTGGGCCTGGCTCTTCGCCGTCAGCAAACTGGTGGAGTTTGGAGACACAGCCTTCATCGTGCTTCGCAAGCAGAACCTCATGTTCCTACACTGGTATCACCACATCACGGTGCTCCTGTACACGTGGTTCAGCTATGCCTACTACACGTCCACCGGGAGGTGTTTTCTGCTCATGAACTACACGGTACACGCGTTCATGTACACTTACTACGCCCTCAAAGCATCTCGTATCGTGCTCATCCCTCGCAGGGTCAGTTTCTGCATCACCGTGCTCCAAATCACGCAGATGTTCACGGGAATTCTCGTCAATCTGTACGCTCACGTCGTGCTGAAGCGAGGCGACGTATGCGCAGTCAGCCGGCGCAACTTGGAGGCGTCTTTCTTCATGTACGTCAGCTACTTTGTGCTCTTTGCGCACTACTTCTACCGGGCCTACTTTGTCAAAAAGAGGAGAAACTGGCTAGCAAACTTCATCCCATCGATGGACAGGGGCAAACAAGCAAACAGGACATTCTCGATGTACAACACCAGGCTGAACTTAAGAAAATTCGATAATAACGTCATTTTAATTTAAATTTAGTTAAAATTTAGTTTTACATTCGCAAGTACTACTCGAGGCTGATCATTTAATTAACTAAAGTAAAATGCGATTTTAAGATTTTTTATCAGTGTGTCAGGATTTTGCAGATCGTTCAGCCGTATTTTTTTTTAATGTGGCTTGATCCTGACATGCAATGCACTTAGTTAATACAAGTTATCTAAAAAAAAACTTAACTAACTAATTAATCAATTAAAACAATTAAAAAGAAAAGAAAAAAAAGAGGCTGGTGGTCTTTTAGTTTTAGCACATCCATCGATCATGGAGACATGGATGCCTTAAAAGTAAGTCATATGTTTTCTATGGACAATATGAACATTAATTGTTGTCTTAAAGGGAATGTACAA